GAGACTTAAGTCAGTTACTCATTATCTTTTTTTCTCTTTCTACTCACATATGAAAAGAGATCTTCACACATAGTTAAATTGTTTTGACAGTCGAACACCAGTAACATGGAAAAATGGAACACTTTGCGCTATAAAACAATCTTGCTAAGGTTTGAAGTGTAAGACAATTTGATTCCTTTGGTTTTTTTTTTTTTTTAACCATTTGGACTTGGGAAAGAAGATTAGCAATGCTAGAAAGTATTGGGCTCAAATGGGGTCCTTAAAATATTGCAAATATCAGAGGTGCAAGGTTGTCATTTTATAGATCTCCACACTAGATTAACATGGGTAAATTTTGTTACAGAGAGATCAAAAGTTGAAGGTCCTTCAAAACTTTCACAAACTAATCCAAACCAGATTCCATGCTTCAATTCGTATTTTCAGAGTGGTTACTACCCTTGACTACCAAATCCAGCATGGGATTCTTCATCAAAGTTAATGCATTATTGCTCCCCACCCCCCAGCACGCACGTGAATAGGAGCAACCTAAGTGATCTATGAGATGCCTTCAAGGATTTGAAATTTACATCACTCCATAAAAAGTTTCATAAAAGTTTCCAGGAATAAAAAAGCTAAACTACATAAAAGGTTAAAAAAAAAAAAGGAACATATCTAAAAGATTAATTTCCAATTTTCCATAGATTCAACTAGGTAATACTGACCAAAATTCTTATCACACTCAGTTATCTTGTTCAGAAACGCCCTTATTAAATTATTCCACTGAGAATCTGTCCCTAGAGGAAAACATGTATCCATCTTTGAACAACATCTTGTCAAGGATTACAAGTCTCTGGTCTAGTTATATTTCTTTGCCTCACCAACAGACATCATTAGACTTCAGTTTGTTTGCTCTCCAACAGCACAAGACATCTTTTCCAACGTTCCTTTTAGTCAAATTAAATTATCTTAATCGTTTCTGCGCAACAAAAGTGAAGCTATTTGGCACCAGTATTTCTGCCTTGCATGTAAACTTTCCTCCCTCCCCCTCTCACATTTTAAGGTTCTCCAACCACTACAGCGCTACTTTCTTTGCTTTAACTCCCACTTTCTTGCCCTCCGTCCTTTAAACCCACCCGACAATTTCGCTCAAACTCAGTGTCCAACTAAAACTTCTCAAAAGAATGACAGGTTTTTGTGGCATTAACTAGATAGAAAGTCAATAGAAATCATTTAAATTTGTGATAAAGCCACTGGGGATTTACAACTCGTTAATCAATTAAACTAACACGCAACATACCTGCTCATACAAATCCTCCAATTTATTCCTGGGAAGCTTAAGTTGAGCCACTTGAGGCAGTATTGCATCCCACCTTCCACTATTAATATCAGCAACAAACGTCTCAATGCTGTCTACAGTATTCAAAGAAACCTGACACTCATTCTGCAGAGTCTGAAATGTCTGGTGCAGGGAGTTTTCTTTGCAAAACTGGAGGACGATTTTGATGACACTGCAAAAATTGTTCTCACGTAATTGAAAACAAATAAAGTAACAAATTGACAGAAGCCTAAATTATTCGTGGGATGATAATGAAATTCGTGCATATTCAGAAAACGAAACTCACTCTCGTGCTTCGATTTCGAGAGTAGACATAACTTCTACAGTTCAGATAGGTCCACGGTTCAATGCAGAACCAGAGAGCGAGTGAGTAGGGTTTTACTGTCAACTATCACGGAGGCTTAGGTCGTTTGGTTAGCCGCGGAGGGAGTGAACAGTAGCCAAGTCGGGAGAGTCGTTTCTCGTCTATGAAAGCCACACCTCACACCTGGCTCCCAAATAAGTCTAGGGCAGGGCGTTAATTCGCTGTGATCGTAAGACGAGCTTTCTTTCCAATCTCGTTAAATCTCATCTTCACTGTTAGAAATAATAATAAAACCTAAGGAGTTGTTTGGTTTTTACTTTAAAAAAAGAAAAAACTTTAAAATTTTATTTGAATCAGTGTTTTAAATTTAATTATTTCAAAAATTATTCTTATTTTTATTTGAATAAATTAGTCTACTAGCCATAAAAAAATTTGTGACTAAAAAATATGACCCAAATTTTTAAATAATTAAAAGTATGGCTGATTTATATTAATATATAAAAAATTTATTATTAAAATTTGATTAATTGAACTTTTACAAATATAGCTTGTGTTACACAAACTAAAGAAATAATTCAATATTTATTATATTTTATATTATGATCAATTTTTTATATTTATTAATAATAAATAGTTGCATATCAATGAAAAATTCTTTATAAATTTTCAAATTTTTTATAATAAATTCATTGTATATTAATGATAAATCTTATATATTAATTATAAATCACTTTTATATCAATCTACATCGCTTATACTCCCAAAATTTCAAAAAGTTGGTATATATTTTTTTGATACAAACTTTTTTGGGCCAATGAATCAATTTATCCTTTGAAAATTTATAAGAAGTTTATTACTTATATACAATATATTATTGACAAATATAATAAATCAATCATAATGCAAAATGTAACAAATATTGGACTATTTACTTTGTTTAGTCTTATAATATAAGTTACATTTGTAAAAATCCTTTTTTATTTTTTTAAAAAAATGAAAATATTTTAAACCTGCTTTCATCTTCTTCTTTTTTGTCTTTAAAATGTGTTATATTTAATTATTGAAAACTTCACACCTTAACTAATCACTACCTTCTAGTTAATTAAAAAAAAAAACTAACCACTCTCACATGTCACCATTTTTAATTACCCATATCATCGATCAATTTTTAATTTAAAAACTATTTAACATAACTTTTATTTTGAAAAATAATTTTAAAAATTATATTGTAAAATAATTTTTAAAAATAAAAAAGTAGAAACTAACCAGCCCCTAAATAATCAAATCTAACCTGAAAATCTAATTTACAGTGTCCTTTCTATTAGTAGAGAGAAGCCCCTGCTGTGGGATTGCAATTTGCACAGCAATATATGAAAGTATAATTTAGCGGAATTGAAAAGCAGATAACATAACTCTTGAAGTAACTATGGTTTTGGAATCATCGTTGAATTTGGCATGTATAGAGGTGTGGGTATTTTTAAGAAAAGTATGATTTTGACTTTTCAATTTATAATTAATTTTAACATATAATAAGAGTCTTTGTATACTTTTCAAGAATCATATTTTTAAGTTCATAATTAGTTTTGACATGCAACACACTTATTTGAATATATTTTTATAAAATCATAATTTTACCTAATTTTTAATTATACTTAAAATTAATCTTATTAATTAATTTTATAAATTAATTATACAATGAAATATAATTGATTAATTATATTTAAAATTAATCATATTGATACATTTTTTTCATAATTATTTTAACCCAACGATATCCAAATTTACCAAGACAAGAATTAAGAAGTTAAGATATTTTAAGAAATTAAGAAATCAGAAATTTTAACAATCAAAATTTTTAAATTTTTCGTCAAATAAAAACTTTATGATATTAGAAGCCAAGTTGTATTACTTTAATTTCCGGTCCAACTGAATTGAAGGTAATTAATTATGTAATTCTGAATGCTTACTTGTTTTATAATGTACTTCTTAGGTCCCATTTGGTTTTCCATTTGTTAAAAGTTAATTTTTTAAAAACTCATTTAATAAAATTCAGTTTGATAAAAATCAATTATTATGATAAAATTTGTGTTTGAATATATTTTTTAAAAATTAATTTAATAAATTAAAATTTGTTTGAATAATATATAATGAGAAGTACTTTTATATGTATAATTACAAAAAATGACGTTGATTTTATGATACGTAATTTTTATTACACATATGGAATATATTTGAAATGTATGGAAAATACATATAATTAAAATTTTAAATAATATAAAATTTAATATGTTAAATAATGAATGATAAAAAAGATAAACTCCTCTTCATTAACCTTGCTCATTATTCCCAACCTCATAAGTTACCTTAGCTTCCTTTATTTGTTTGTCTGACCAGTTAAAATTTTTCTAAAGTTAATAAAATTTTATTTTAATGATGATGGTCGCTTCCTATATTATTTACCCAGTCTCCCTGCAATTTGTGGTTTATGAAAAATTACAAAGTTAACAATCTATGAAAAATATAGTGTTTGGCAAATAATTATCAGGATAGAATAGTAAAATAAAAATTAGTCACTCCCTCACTAATGCCCAAACCCCAACTTCAAATGCAAAATTAAGTGAAAGTAGCTTTGAAAAAAAGGAGTTTTAATGACTTTTTCAAAGGACTTTAGAAACTTTTTTATAAGCCAAACAATTTTTATTTTTGAAATTTCTCAAAAATACTTTACGAATGTGAAAAGGTTGTTGCCCAAACACAGACTTAATCATTAATTTTCTGGTAAAAATACTTCTTAATTATTAATTATTAATTTTTTGATAAAAAATTAATTTTTAATTGTTAATCAGTTATAATCTTTATAATAAAATATAAAAGTAGAGTCCCAAGCATAATTAATGGGTCTGCAAATTTGTGTTACCAGCTAAAATCCTAAAAGCATTAATCATATAGATGATTAATGGTACGGACCGTAGCTAAGGCAAAAACTTCAAAACATGATAAAGAAAATCGATATATTCTACAAAAAAGATACTAGGCATAGGCACATTGAATCTTGTGAGTTTTTTAGGAATAGGCAATTAAAAAAAATTAATCCAATTCACATGCCTGGTACATTGAACCTTTAAATCTTTTATCTTACCCATATTACTCCTCTCTACTCTCGCTATCATGCAAATAGAGATGGCTACTATATCTCCTAAATCCCTTCTTCTTCTCTCTTCCATAATCTTTATCATATACACTTATGTCTTCTCCCTCACCATAGCAACCCAGCTAGGTTTTAGTGTGGAACTCATCCACCTAGATTCTCCACAACAATCTCCATTCTATGATAACTCCACAACACCTATTTAAAAATTGTACAAAGCTCACCATCGCTCCATGAACCGTGCGACTTATTTCTTTCCTGAAGTAGCAAAAGCTCTCTATGGTGATCCTATATCTGAACTAGAATATGCTAGCACAGAATATATCATGGCCTATTCCTTAGGCACATACCCAAGTCACCAAACTTATAGCATTGTTGACACCGGTAGTGACCTTATTTGGTTACAATGTCACCCTTGCTATGAATGTTACGCATTGAAATATCCTATAATAGATGTATCTTCTTCCCTAACTTACAGAAATTATTATTGCAATTCTGATCAATGCAAACTAGCAAAAGCCTCGGTAAGCAACACATATTGTGACGTTGTTTTCAACTGCCAATTCCGTATATCGTATTTGGATGGATCAATTACGGAGGGAACGATCGCACACGACACACTCACGCTTGCTTCTACAAGAGGTGGCAAAGTGGCATTTCCTAAGACCTTGTTTGGTTGTGTTCATAAAACTGTTGGTCACTTTGTTCCTGAGAGTTCTGGAGTTGTGGGTATGGGACGTGGTCCAATCTCGTTGATCTCACAAATGGGTTCTTTGATTCAAGGCAAATTCTCGTACTGCTTGACTCCAATGTTTTCTGAGAAAACAAGTAAATTGCATTTTGGCCAAAGCGCTGTCGTTTCTGGTCCTGGGACTGTCTCTACTCCACTTGGGACAAAAGACAATTTTTATCGGGTTACGTTGGAGGCAATTAGCGTGGGAGACAAAAGAATACAGTTTAATTTAGGTAAGTAGTAGCCCTTTACTGTCTCTCTCACTGCACATAACCTAATGATTTTTTTAATTAAAAAAATTGATCATTTAATCATTTTCTACTTGATTATAATTCTGTTCTTAAATTTTTACTTATTATAATTCAATACTTATAATTTTAATTTTAATTTTATTATAATTCAATCTCTGAACTTTGACCTAATACAATCTAATATTTAAAGTTTTAACATTTAAAATTATAGGAATTGAATTGTATCAAGTCAAGATTCATAAATTGATTTACAATCAAGTGAAAATTGTAAAAATCAAGTTACAATAAATAAAAGCTTAGGGATCAAGTTACAACTAAATCAATAATACATGATCAAATGATTAATTTTTCTGTCAATATTTTATTGATTATGATTATTGATGAAAATTGAAAAGCAAAAAGAAGTGCAACCAATTAAAAAAAATTAATTTTTCATGATTTACTTTTGAAACTGTCAAGCAAATTCCAACAGAATAAACTGAAGAAACTCAAATTTTATTTCTTGTGTGGTATATTTCTACTAAAATTTAGTTAAAAAACATGTTATTTTGTTTAAACTTTATTTCTGATTATTTGTTTTCATAAAATTTCATATGTACCACGACCACCACCAGTAATAGTAGCTGTTCTATATTACTAGCAGCATTTTCCCACCTAATCTTGTCATCAATTTTCTACCCAAGGTTGACTATTTCTTCCTTTCACTAAGCATCATTCATTAGATTCATTCTTGCAATAGTTAATATTACTATTATTATGTACTAATGTTTATAATCTGTCACCACTCAGTAACTCGTTGATGATATAAATTAAATAGACTAGAATGAATTTATTTTTTATAGATGGTTTGCCAAATGATGAGGGCAACACGGTAATTGACTCTGGGACAAGATTGACAATTCTGCCTGAAGATTTGTACTTTGAGGTGGAATCAGAAGTAAAAGTGAATATTAAAGCTGATCGAACTGGTGACTCAGGAATAAACCAAGCTTTTAAGCTTTGTTATGTATCAGAAAGTATTGAAACCCTTGGAGCTCCTATTATTACTCTTCATTTCAGAGATGCAAATGTCAAGTTAAATCCAATCAACACCTTCGTTGTATTTACTTCAAACGTGATATGCTTTGGTGTTCGTCCCTTGCGAAGAATATCAATGATGGGGAACATGGCTCAAGTGAACTTTATGGTTGGGTTTGACCTTCATAATAATATTGTTTCCTTTAAGCCAACAGATTGCACCATGCTCTAACAGTAATGCATTTTATTGCATGTGTCTTCTATATATTCTCATTTCACGCTCTTGGCGGTGGTTTACTTTGAATTATATTGTGCATTAGCTCTTTTATTAGCATTTGGACCAAAACCGAGTAGTAAACTGGATTTCAGGATTTGTGTATACTAGACCCCAACAAGGAGAACTCAGTTTTACCCAAACCAATGGTTCTAAAGGCTAGATTTCCAACGTGTTGATTGAATAATTTCGGAGCACCTACCTTGTACTTGTTTCTAAGAAATAACCAATCACCTTCTTGCAAACATATTCAATCTATGTGATTCTCAAAAACTTAAGTACTCTAAAAAAAAATTGGTAAAAAACTTGTGAAAACTCACATTCGTGTTTGGACATTTAATTTGAGGATAAAGCTCCTCCTGTAGACCAGCCAAATGCTTGGTAATGTGGGTGCATATATGTTAAATCTCTTGATCAATTATTCTTGCAGTGTTCATGGTTTGGGATGTTTAGCGTCTCATTCAATATTTTTCGCTGATCAATGAGAAAATGATATAAAACACTTAGCAAATGATTTCAGGACACAAGAAGTCAGTCACTGAAAACATAGAATCATGAAAGGCTAGAAGAGAAAAGGAGATTGAATGGAGGCAATCTATGTATGGATGAAATTCCTTGTTATCTGTTACTCGGAGCCAAACATGGCTTCTACAAGTGGCGCTTTAAGATCCAAACAGGGACATTGGAGGACGATCAAGAGGAGGAGGATGAGTTGCCGTCGTCAGAAAATAGCCAAATCAAAGAGGAATCAAATTATTGGACGTTCCCAGTCGATTTATGTGAGTTTGACCCTCAGATTGATTCAATAACAGGATCACGTATCATGGAAATCTGCTTGAGCTTGTGGCAGATTATTCGAATTTGGGGCAAAATTTAGGGATTCACGGCGAAGGCAAATGAGAGGCAACGGCAGCTACGGGAGCTAGCACGTCGATAAAATCATACCAACAGGCTGGCCTTTCACTCTTTCTTCCCCTCTCTATCTCTCATTGCCCATTTAAATTATAACAGTTTAGCAGCTTTGCGAGTCTGTATAGAAGTGTTTCCGGCCCATAATTCTCACCTCTATTGTTCAAATCACTCCAAGGTAGTGCTGGTTTAATAATTCATTATTGAAATAGCTATATCTAGTGACTATTGTTGACCTTGTGGTTCTCAAATTGTGAAATACTCATAAGTATCAACGGGTTTTACAACAACATGTTTCTAAAACTTAACGAAATCAAAGAAGGGGAGGGGCATCATCAAGGTGAGATTACTGTTAAATTATGTCTTAAATTCATGGGACCCTTGCATAAAGATGTGAAGTTGTTAAATTATTACTTTTTGAGCCCCAAATTAACTATAGCTAATGGAATTGTTAAGTCCAAATCGATCCCCCTTTCTACAGCTTCTTACATGACATGGTTTAATGCATTGAGTCGAACACTTTGACCGTTTGAACTTGAAGGGACACATAGATTACGGAGTTGCTTATGTTTCTTGGCGGCAAAAATCCTATTTTGATCATTTTGCAGAATTCTAATGTTTCATTCTTATTTATTCACTGTTAAAGCATATGGTGGAGCATTAGATGATATTATAGCAGCAGAAAGTGGAGAATCAACAGAATGGGTACCAAATATATAAGCCACAATGCATCAGAGCACTGAGCAAACATTTGCTTCTAACTTTTTAAGCATACAACTTTATTCTTCTGAGCTAATACCTCAGAATAATACTTCTTTTTAAACAACTTGTGCTCCCAATGGTGACTTAGAGGCAAAGCTTATTTGGCACTCATTCGATTTTAAGGACTCAATATTATTTTGCAAGTCATATCCAACCAAGAACAACCAATGAATGGTCTCATGTTTTGAAGTAGCTGGGTAAAATTTAAGGCATGCTACTTCGGAAGAAACCATAAGGAAGGTATCTTTTGCACTTAACTTGACATCTACTCCTCCTCTGAAATGAATAGTAATGGTGGGAACTCTAATATCTTCAATACTTTCCACTAAATAACTAAGTTTGAAGTTTTTGACCGGGCTAACAACAACACGGTCTAATAATGGGTCCACCACTTTTGCAATTTTTGCTTCTAGTTCCCAGTAGACATCTTGAGGCAACATAGTCTGTCTGGTGTCAAAATCTGAATCATCAATGACTATAGTGCCTTGTGACTTTGCATGTGATCTGAAACCGAAATCATCGCCTGCAACAATGTCTAGTGTTTTGTCTCCCAAACTGATTCCTTCAATGTCAGGTGATACATCTTGTTTGAGTTTCTTGATCTCTTGGGAGTATAGACAATAGTTCCTGATTCTGAAACACAAATGTTTTAGCCCTAACTCAATTTGTCAGATTTTGTCAAAGGAGATTTGGAATAAACAATTCAAGAACTCGCCTTCAGTAGAAGTGGCCATTTGTGAAACTGAAGAAATCATTCCATCACTATCACCATCACAACCAAACATTAAGTATTTGGGAAATTCCACTTCACTGTTAGTTGTAGAGCAAAGCGTGAACGTGTCATTTCTGGATCTATTTTTGTTGCAAGAAATCTGGTTGACAAAGGCCATTACAGAACAGCGAAGGTGGGATCCACATAATGAGCGTAAATAATGTGATGGGTCTGACTTACACTGTAACCAAACAACATTACTACCTTTATCAGCAGGGACTGCCATTCCTGATGAAAATAAATGAACAACTTAGTCAATAAGTGAAGCCCTTAAGCCGGATAGTATATGTTAGCAGCTAGCACAGAGACCTGTAAGAGGAAGCAACAGCAGCCCAAAGCATATGGCCATCAAAGGAACTTTGTTGTTCACAGACATGATTCTCTCTTTTGTACAAAAGCTCTCTCTCTCTCTCTCTCTCTCTCTCTCCTGGGTTTTGATCTGTGAGTGTTGATGAATTAAAGGACCAAATGGCTTGGGTATTTTTGCTACTACATGAATTGAAGGAACATTAGGTTTTGGGTATTAAGGGAAGCTAATGCTTTTCATTAAGGTGACATTTTGATATATTTGCTTTTAGTTTCCCCTCTGAAGCTTCATCTGTAGTTTCTAGTTTAATGTTGGTGACCCACGTGTTGCAATTGAGGAAAATTTCCTCAGCTGGTTTGGCCATAATAGAGTAGTACAAAGTGAAAAATAAACCAAAATAGCTAAACATAAACCACATTGATATGTCAAATGTATCTATAATTACTATGCTTAGTGCCCAAGGAGGACTAAACTAGGTTAACTTTGAAAATTTTCTCGATCCAGCTGTTAATTGACGAGACAGGCATCATCCTCTTTCTAAAAAAAGAAAGGTCCAAAATTATATTAGGTGGTATTTGGATGGATGAATATGGATTTGAATTTTAAAATTAAAATATCACAATCAAAATTCATGCATTTAAAATTATTTGTTTGGGGACTAAAAAAAAAATTACACTAATAAGAATGAGTAGTTTTAGTTGTGTGACTTGTGTTTGTCCACGTGATTGGGCATTACTAAAAGAGGATGGTTGAAATTTGAAATAATTAGAGTAGAGATTAAGTATTTGAAATTATAAATGAATTGTAATAGAAAAATTGCTTGGATTTAATCCAAATAAAAAATATCATGTATTTAAATAATAAATCTGGTCTAAATCCAAATTCCCACTAATCTAAACATATAATTATTTTATTTCAATGATAAATTGATACATTCTTATGTAGTTAGCTAATTAATTTTACTTGGTCTATCTTAACTAAGATCTTATCTTAGGCATACATAGTTGTTAAACTTTTCTCTTTTTAAGGAGGCAAATATGATCTGGCCAAAAAAAAAAAGAATGCAAATATGAATTGAATAAATTATACTATTTTAACTAGGGGTGTTAATGGGATTAGGACAATTCTGTCCCATGTCCCGTCCTAAAAGTCGTCCCGTCTGTTAGAAATCGGGGTAGGATCGGAACGTCTCATTGTCCTGACAAAACAGACAATGTAGGAGAAATATCTGGATAATAACATTCATTAAAATTTTAAATTATATAATTTATTAAGTTTGAAATCAAAACAATACAAGTACATAAATCACAACAATTTAAATTCAATTATTGAATTATATTAATCACAACTACACATTATGATATCAATTATAAGTGATCTTTAGGCTATAAAAGCAGTAACAACAAGTAAGCCAATCACAACATTAAATATTGTTTTTCTACTTTAGTTGAGATGTATTAAACTAATTACTTTTTTAAAATAAAACAAGAAATACGATATAAATAAAAGTTATTAAATAGATAGATATAAGAATAAATTGTATTAATATACTTAACATATTATAAAGAAAGATATTGCCTTATTTACTCTATGTCTTTAAAATTATCAATATAAAAAAATTTAGTTTTATATAAGAATTACAAGTATTGAATTATAATTGATATAATTAATATAAGGATAAATTATATTAATATAATTAATATATTTAATGTATATTTTTAAAATAAAAATAATATATATATAATATTTGGATGGAACGTCTCAATGGTAATCCCGTATCCCATCCCATCTCGAATTCATTTCCTATCCTCGTCTCATAAAGTTTCATCCTAATTGTTTTCGAGTAAGGATAAGACCTGTCTTGATATAATCATAATGGTATCAAGTTAATCAAGACAAGTGCAAGCTGGACACTCTTAATTTTTAACCCCCAATTGGGGGTCCAAAAGAAAGAACAGCGCGGAGGTTAAGAGGAGAAGAAAAACAATTTAAAGAAGAAAAAAAAGAAAAGCACGTGAAAAAGATTTTCATTGACAAAGCTGTTGTGATAATGAGGAAAGGGTGAAATGTATACTTCGAACATGAGATCATGCCAAAAATCATTATCAGAGCAGAATATAAATTATAGAAGGAAGGAAGTTGCAGGAGCTCATTTTTCTTTTTTCTTTTTTATATAAAAAAGTTAGATGAATTAAGTTTCGAGAATTTACTAGGATCTTGACATATTTTCATGTTCAAAGAAAGTTTATAGATTTCCTACCAATAAATTTTTTTCCCCTCCTTTGCACGTGAATTCCATATAGTCTTGATTTTGCAAAGAGGATATTTCTCTTGAGTTAAAATTTTTCTCTTTTGACCTTATCTATTGAGGATGCGATAACTCTGTAGACAATGCCCCAAACCTCATAAGAAAAATTCACTTAATATCAATTTCACTTTAGCAATCGTGTGTGTATGTGTCGACCTTTTTCGTTGCTCATTTTAGACCTCAACCCAATCAATCAAAAGGAAATAATCATTTAGGATGGTGCTTTACTGGGTTCCTACAACATCTCCAATTAATTTATTCAATTTTTGGCCAACCAATTAAATTATTCATTTTGAATATTAATAGTTTAGATTTTTTAAAAGAATTACTATAAAAAAATATTATTTGAATAAGCAATCGAATTCAGAGAATTGAGTGGATTATTGAATATATATAAAATAATGATAATGGTATATTTCATTAGAGAATTAAACAATCATTTATATATTAGATTTTTTTTACAATTAATTATTTCAATGTATGATTAAATAGAAAAAATACTTAAAATGATAAACTATTTAGTTATTAATAATTTTTCAATTTAATTTTTGTATAGATAATAAATATGATTACAAAAATTAATTTATTAACATAAATAAAGTTTTGTGTTCCGCCTTTGCCCTTCCCCTCTTCTCTCCCGCTTCTTCGTTTTGGGCTTTGGCGCATTCTTCTTCAGTTTTTCTACACACTTCAGATTGCGTTGGACTCAGGCAGCGCGTTCTTATTCTCACAGGACCACCTCCACTCTGCGTTCTTCTTCTTCGACTCAGTTCAGTTATCTCACTGGCGTGTTCTTCCGTTTTGCTATTTTGGACTTGGTGTGTTAAAAGTGTGAAATTTATGGTCTGTTTTGCTATATCTCGCCGGCCGTTCTTCCGTTTTGCTACTTTGCAATTCCGTTTTGCTATATCTTCCGATGTCTAAATCAGAAGGTCAAATGTTGTGGTGGAGTCAGGCTGACGCTGTTTGTTAGCCGTGATTATCTTTGTATGATGATGTTGGCGCCAATTGCATCCTGGGGAGTGGTGATAATACTCATGCTGGTTCTTGCCTATGGCCACTGCCATACGCATCAAATTGTTACTTTTAGGAATCTTCCCATTTTGCATAGTTTAGATCAATGAGGATTGAGGACAATTGACGGATGATGATGGGTTTCAATGGATTTAAACAAAATCCAGATAGGTTTACGATGTTGTGGGTACTTTCAAGCTTTAAAACATGGAAGATCATTTCATTCTTATTTAATAAAACTCGGGCTTTTGAGTGATATATTCCTTGCAAACAATATGCTATCCGTGTATGTGAAATGCCCTCATTTAGATGACGCGCAAAAGCTTTTCGATGAAATGCATGGCCGAAATATCATTACTTGGACGACAATGGTATCCGCGTATGCCAACTGTGGGAGGCCTTGCGAGGGTCTTAAACTTTATAATCAGATGCTGGAATCTAGAACACAGGAACCCAACGAATTCTTGTACTCTGCTGTTTTGAAGGCTTGTAGTCTCGTAGGTGATGCTGAGTTGGGTAAGCTGATTCATCAAGATATATATAGAGCTAAGTTGGAATTTGACACTGTTTTGATGAATGCACTCTTGGACATGTATGCCAAATGTGGAAATTTGAGAGACGCTCAACAAGTTTTCAACGCAATCCTGTGTAAAAATTCAATTACGTGGAACACCCTTATTTTGGGTTATACTAAAGAAGGATTAATGGACGAAGCATTGGATTTGTTCAATCGAATGCCAGAACCCGATCTTGTAACTTGGAACAGTATCATTGCTGGCCTTGCATATAATGGTAGTCCCCAAGCATTGCAATTTGTTTCTATGATGCACAGGAAGGGCCTTAAACCAGACTCATTCACATTCTCGTGTGCTCTTAAAACCTGTAGTTATCTTAATGATTTAATCATTGGGGGACAGATTCATTGTCATATTATTAAGTCTGGCTTTGAGTCTAACGTTTACAATATATCAGCATTGATTGACATGTATTCGAATTGCAAGTTTTTAAATGAAGCAATCAAGATATTTGATCAATTCTCTGTGAGCTATCCTTTCACTCAAGGTTTGGCGCTCTGGAATTCTATGCTTGCAGGGTATGTTGCCAATGAAGATTATGCAAAGGCTCTCAATATGATTGCACATATTCATTATTCTGGTGCGCAATTTGATTCCTATTCTTTTAGTATTGCTTTAAAGATTTGTATCTACTTTAAGAATTTGAGACTGACGTCTCAAGTGCATGGTTTGATAATAACTTGTGGCTATGAGTTATATTATGTTGTTGGAAGCATTCTTATTGATCTATATGCAAAACAAGGCAACATTGACAATGCACTGAGATTGTTTGAAAGGATGTCAGATAAGGACAGTGTGGCTTGGTCTAGTTTGATTGCTGGTTGTGCTAGACTCGGTTTAGGTACATTAGCTTTTTCTCTCTTTACAGATATGGTCAAGTTAGATCTCGAGATTGATCAATTTGTCATTTCTAGCGTTCTGAAAGTTTCTTCAAGTTTGTCATCTCTACGAAGTGGCAAGCAAATCCATGCTTACTGTGTCAAAAAGAGATATGAATCAGAAGGTGTTACTATAACATCACTTATTGACATGTATGCAAAATGCGGTGATATTGATGATGCTTTAGCTTTGTTTAGTAGTCTTTCAGAAATAGATACTGTTTGTTGGACGGGGATTATTGTGGGATGTGCACAAAATGGAAGAGCGGTTGAGGCAATTAAGCTTTTGCAAGAGATGATAGAATCAGGCTTCCAGCCAAATGAAATCACTTTTGTTGGTGTTCTTACTGCCTGTAGACACGCTGGTTTAGTCAAGGAGGCATGGGCTATATTTAATTCTATTAAAACTGAGCATGGACTAACACCATGTCTGGAGCACTACCATTGTATGGTTGATCTACTTGGCCAATCAGGACACTTCAAAGAAGCGGCAAAATTGATTAATGACATGCCACTTGAACCTGACAAAACCATATGGCGCTCCTTGCTCAATGCATGTGCTCTGCACAAGAATCGAGAGCTTGCAAAATTTGTTGCTGAGCATCTTCTAGCTACCACACCAGAAGATGCTTCTACATATGTAATGGTGTCAAATGTGTATGGAGCTCTGGGAATGTGGGACAGTTTAAGCCAAGTCAGGGAAGCTGTCAGGAAAGTAGGGATAAAGGAAGCTGGAAAAAGCTGGATTGAAATTGCAAGGTGAAAGCCTTGATTTGTGTATAGAATGGTTTGGCTAGAGCAACCCTTGTTATTAGAAAACAAAATTTTTGGGATGAGTCATTTGGACTGCTGACCCCTAACAACTGTGCACTATCTAAACTGAAAAAGAAGACCTTTATGTATTCGATGACTGCATTCACTTGATGAGAAGCATGGAAACACCGCATTTCACATGAAATGTGGATGAGAGATGCTGTAGCTCAAAAACACTACATTTGGCCGTGGAAAATTTCCCCTCTAGAATGGATTTTTGGCTGCGGCCTGCGGCAAACTCATCAGATTGTGAACTTAAAAGAGAGGATGAGAAAGATGGAGCTGTGCTAGGGTTTTACATTTTTGGTCTTGGGAGCTAGTTCAATCACCTGAGGGGACGCTTAAAATCTGGAAGGTAAGGCCTCCTACACATCTTTACTGTCCCATTCCACGAGACTTCTTTGTTAAGGTTGAAGGATTTTATGGGTAGATAATGCAACCTGACTTGGACATGAGTTTTCTCTGTTGAATGGTGTTATGTTATTGTTTCTGGTTAGTGTTTCCACATCTTGAACACTTGGTCAGTAGTTGATTATATGATCTGGGACCTGAATGTCTGCTACTCTACATCTAGTATCGAAAAGATCTGAGCCGTTGAACAAAATCCTCTGATCCTAATCGTACCCTTTTATCCCCAAAATTAGATTACTCATCCAATCCTTTGATGCATTGCTGAACAGAACCCTTCGACAGAGGACGAGCAGATGTGTCAGTGCATGCCGAGGCCGCATGGGGGAGACGGTAGTGTGAATTTCGGAATCCTTGCCCATCCATTTTTGGAACTTGGGCGTCCTTGTTTGTTGCAGAGTGAGAAGCTTCTTCGTCCAAATCTTAAACTGCTCACTATCAATTTCGTTCCACCGCTTGAAATCAGTGGGAACAAGAAGTCTTTTCGGTCCAAATCTTCAATAGTGGCGTGTGAGCGGCGGTGAAGACTTGCTTCTTCAATCTCTTCTTTGGACTTGAAATCTGAACTAATCTGTTTGATCTAACATTATCTAATTGCTTCTTCAATTTCCCATATATATTTGCTGCATTTATATATATATATATATATATATAATCTAATTGCTTCATGAATGATCTGAAAACTAACCTTTAAATGCTACTTCTGATTTTGCTTGTTGACTGTGATGCGATATTAATTACACGATCAAATAGCTGTTTTCGTGGGATAAATTCGTGCATAAGTAACTAAAATGAAAATTAATTTAGGAACAGCGCCAGTCCCTCATAACATGTGATAAACCAAAATTCTAATTCCCGTCGTGGAGAAGTGTCTTTATTTAGTGTTTGATTTTATTTTGAACGGAGTTGATCGTGTCTCAAAAAGGATTTTTTCCAATAAGCAAAGATTTGTACACTATCCAAAATTAATTGTTGAACAAAAATTTATCAAAATAAGAAAATGGTTGCGAACCTCTCACAACTCAGAGCGTGCAGTAGTTTTTACAAGATGTGACACTGTATATGGATATGGACAAGAAAATTCACGTGGATAATTAATTAAAGGGTAAGGAACAAAAATGCTTTTAAAGTTATTGGTTAAAAGTTTTTAGTATTCTAAAATGAAAAAAGTTGCATCAGTGTTGATAATATTACGTCACTTGATGTGAAAATAATCAAACCATTAATTCGATGTGAGCCTTCGTTAACTTTTGGCATTAGATACTGTGCTTGTTTACTTACTAACGTGGACAATCTCACTGTCAATCACTCTGTCTCTCTCTTTTTCCCTCTCTTTCTGTGCATCGTCCATTCGTCCCCATTGTTCACCGACACACCACCTCCTTCACCTTCTTCATGTCCAACTGCATTATCCATCCTTCCATCCTTGACGCTCCGGCGTTGTTCACTATTATGTCCACCTGCCCCTTCCACCTCTTCGCCTCCTCTATCGCCGACTTCACCTCTTCCACCTCTCAGCTCCATTACAACTCTCTCTCTCTCTCTCTCTCTCTCTCTCTCTCTCTCTCTCTCAGCTCCATTACTGAGCAAGTTTCTTAGACTCATATTTGCGTTAATATTGCGGATCTAGTCACTCTAGTCCAAAAAATCCCACTCGTACAAATACAAATTCAACCCCAAGACCATCAGCAGATTACAGAGGCCAAATTAGAACTGCGCCTACATAATTAAAATCGCAAAAATCATCCATTCCTATCTTCTCTTAGCAAACTGATCGACATTATAGATAAGGAAAAATGAACCTCGCCTTTACCCAGCCGAGACGGTGGCTTCGATGGAATCTTCTTCGAGGCCCGAACACGGCTGCAGCTTGGATAGAGGCCACAGGTAAAGTGTGTGAAGACAACGGAATCAGCCGAGCACAAGGACCACCGTGTGTTAGCCCACTGCTTGGAGCAGATCAACTCCCACAATCGCTCGTCCAACGCTGTCATGTGCCGCTGCTTGCGTAGCGCCATGGCCAGCGTCTTCGCGTCCACGGATGCAGAGTGTGGGAAAGAGTTTTCTCGTTGGAAAGTTATGTTTGGGCATATAAGGACACACTGGCGACATGTGGTAAAGATCCTGAAAAAGATGCAGAGATCAAGAGGTTGCAAGTCAGAGCCTTCAACAGGACAGGTCACAAGAACACTCAGGTCACGTTTGGTTCTTGGAAAGGAATGGAATGATCATTGTTATAAATTTATTTGGTAGAATACTTAAGTATTTAAAAATAGAGTTTGTTTATATTATTTATTTAAATATAAATTAAAATATAAAGACCATAATATTCTTACCATAATGAGGCAACAACCATTTTTCTTATCTTAATGCATTTGCCTTTTTTTTTTCAAAAGTTTTTATAAGATTAAGAAAGACATATAAACATGATACACATGAAATTAAATATAAAATTTGATTAAATTCAAAAACTTCTTAAAAATATTCTTTATAAGATTAAAAATATTGTAAAGAGAAAATAATAAATAAAATTAAAAATAAAAAGGTGGGTGTGATTAACATGGACATTTTGATAAAATATATTGGATTTAAGGCGAATAATATGATTCCTCCCATTTTTTAAAAAGGCTTTTTCATTCCTAAAAATATGATAATCCACGTTCTTGAGAGAGACCATTTTATGTCTCTTACAAGCAACCAAAAATGGGTGAGATAGGAATGGAGACATTATTACCATTCCATGAGTCAAGATTCTTATAACCAAACAGGACCTGAGCATTTAACTTTGGAAATTAGGCTAGTATAAAAACATTAACATTTTAATCATTCTTACACCAACTTAAATAATATTATGTTCATTCATATGTCCTTTTTTTATTTTAGGATATTGGATATTCCAACAATTTTATAGGTATTTTTGTCTTTTTACCCTTAATTAAAATGAATCAAACAAGAGTGAATTAGTTAATTAATTCCTATATCATTTTGATTTGGTTTAATAGATTATTCCTTCCGTCTCTATATATAAAAGGTCTTCTTGTCCCCAAAATATAAGATGTTGTTAGCATATTTTTTTAATGAATAGACTATTATATCCTTATTAAATTGAAAACAAAAAAAGATAAATAATTTCATTAATTTACTTTAAAAAAAGAGATTCATTTTTTATTTATAATAATTAAAGGTAAAATTGGAATGTTGTTTTGCTTTTAATTAGATAACCAACTTTTATTGATTTATGTGATTCAGTTAAAAACATCTTATATGTATTAAGAAAAACCTTAAAACTCATTAATTTTGTCTAAAATTTTTATAATTTATCAACTTTGCTTTTATTTAATATACATACTTTAACAACATATTTTTTTCCTCCAACATTCAATGAAGGTCAAATGAGAAAATTTGCAATGAAAATTTAATGAAGTGACTAATGAATATGATAAAAAAAAATTCTTCTCTCTCTACCATATAAATAAAATCAGAGAGAGTATGTTTCAACCTGTAGCATTCCAAAATTTAACAACTCCAACATGTATGAATTTTTGCTCGTTTCCAGTTTTCATAAGAAATTTTGCCATTAGTATGTACGTAACTAAAGATACATAGACGTAAACAATTAATTACTTTCATGTATATGCATCATTGTTTCTTTATAGCACCTTTTAAAAATTCAGATATTTGCAAGGTTTCTTTTCTTGACAAGAATTTCATATATTTTCTTTCGGGATTAGTCTACTATTTTATTAGAAAGAAAATTTCACTTTCAATTGCTATGAAAAATACAGAAACTTCTTCATTAATTTTCAGAACTAATAAATTCTTACAGATGTCTTGTGATAACTCAAGGATGGATGAATGAATGAATGAGAATCTCCTTACTAACTTAAAGCAATTCAATATTAATGATGATTTAGTCATATACATATCTTTTGTGCAATGCAAACATATATGGTCAATTTCTAGTTGTGTGGCTTGATTGGTGGATTTATAGCTTTTCCACCATTATCAAATTTGCAAAGCTGCCTACTGAAAACCTGACCTATATATTATTAATTTGGTTTGAACACTAGTTCAAAAGTCAATAATTAAAATTTTAGTTAAACTGTGATCGATCAGGCTTGTTGTGATCAAATTAAAATATTTTATTAAATTAGTTAAGACATTTGTTCAATGGTTTACTGATTTAGAGACTGAGTTGACCCAATTTTAAATGTTATTAATTTGCATTTAGAAATAATTTGAACCTGGTTTGTGTAAATGTATTGGCTTGTTTTGGAAAGATATTGGCGGATTTGATTCATCAATCACTATTTAATTAATGATAACAGAACAAAATGTGCACCAGGTCCTGATTACCTGGAATTTCTCATTCATCCATTAATACAAATAGATAAACACACACACACACTAAAAAGATCAAAATACAGTCATATATAGATTAAAAATCAACGTGAAAAACTAAAAACTAAGAATATATACTTCATGCAAAACATATTAATATTGAATTGATGCAAGTTAGTTAAGGAGATTCTCATTCTTCATCCATTCATCCTTGTGTGGTGATCACAAGCCATCTGTATGAATTTATTAGTTATGAAAATTAATGAAAAAGTTTCTGTGTTTTTTATAGCGTTCGAAAGTGAAATTTTGTCAGATGTAAAATACATGAAATTGCCGTCACGAAAAGAAACCTTTGCAAATATATATCTGAATTCTTAAAAGGTGCTATCAAGGAACAATACATAAACATTAAAGTAATTAATTGTTTACGTCTATGCATATTTACATAGTAATGGTAAAAATGGGTCGACAAAAATTCTTATGAAAAATGGAAACTACGAACAAAATAAGGGAGGAATTAAAACCACACGCGAATAGTTAACAAAAACTTTAAGATACATAAAATATTTTATACACTGTGATAATAAATTTGGCAAAAGTACATATTTGGTTTTCTAATTTTATATAAAAATTATTTTTAATTTTTAATTTTATAAAATATTTTTTTAATCCTTTCGCTTTAACATCATAATTTTTAGTATTAATAATTTTTATTTTAAAAAAATTAAATTTAATATATTAACATTTGAAAATATTTTATCAATATTTAATAGTTTAAAAGCAATATTGTTTTGTCAAACAAATTAAACTCACAGTTTAGAGTTAACGAATTAAAAAGATACTTAATAAAATTAAATGATCAAAATAAAATAATATGTGAAAATAAAAGATCAAAAAATATACTTTTACCTTATAAATCCACTCAATATTTTACCTTGGATCCTATTATTTATAAATTTCATACTTAACATATGTATGTATGTATGTATGTATATTAATAATGTATTTTCTATCACCAACATTTAACTAGCGGAAAAAGAGAAAACTTGTAATAAAAAGTCAATAATATATCTTAAAACATGATTAAAAAAATATTTTCTTTCCTATAAATTGGACTCGAAAGAGTATATCAAGAATATTACAAAAAATGCATATATACAATCTTATATGCCTCGAGGATTTTCGGAAATTCACAATTATATGAACATCAATAATTCGATACATTGAACCTTTAAATATTTCTTCTTCATATATATCTTTATATATTTATATATATATATATATATATATAACAAGTCCTCCCCCCCCCCCTACTTTTTCTCTCCTTCATGCACATAAATAAAAATGGCAGCAACTTCTAAACCCTATCATCTTCTCTCTTATTATCCCACATTAATCTTTATCATCACTTACATTTGTACTGTCATCCTCATATCCTTCACCAAGGCAAATGAGAAACTTGGTTTTAGTGTAGAACTCATTCATAGAGATTCTCCAAATTCTCCATTCTTCGATCACTCCACAACACCATTGCAGAAATTATCCTCTGCTCTTCATCACTCCATGAACCGTGCTACTCATTTCTTCTCCTCCAAACCTAATAAAACCCTAGCTCATCTCCACGACGACGATCCTGAATCTGAAATAACATATGCTAGTGCAGAACACATCATGGCCTATTCCGTCGGAACGCCGTCGTTTCAAACCTACGGTGTCTTCGACACAGGCAGTGATTTTATTTGGTTACAGTGTCACCCTTGTTACGAATGTTACAACCAAACAATCCCTTTGTTTGATTTATATCGTCATTCGTCAACGTATAGAAACTACAATTGCCATGTCAGTGAGTGTGAATCTGTGGAGCCCTCAGTACACGACACACATTGTGATGTCGTTTGGAACTGCGCCTTTGAAATGCGGTATTTGGGTCGTTCAACTGCGATGGGGTTGATCGCTCACGACACACTCACGCTTGCTTCGACGACTGGTTGTGAAGTGTCGTTTACTAAGACCCTATTTGGTTGTGCGCATAAAACTGTCGGAAACTTTGTTCCTGAGAGTTCTGGTATTGTTGGTCTGGGACGAGGTCGTTTCTCGTTGATCTCACAAATGGGCTCTTCTGTTCAACGGAGGTTCTCGTACTGTTTGACTTCTCCATATTTATCATCAAGTGGGAGTAACAGTAAGTTGCATTTTGGACAAAACGCTGTCGTTTCTGGACCTGGGACTGTCTCCACACCGCTCGTATCATCAGGAGATTACTCAAACGAACACTATTATGTTATCTTGGAAGGAGTTAGTGTGGAAGACACAAAAATAGAGTTTGACGGAGGTAATTAGTTAATTTAATTATTGACGAGCCTTCAATCCCATCGGTCACTCTCAAATATTGAATTTGATTGCTTCTGAATATTGTGAAACAATTTCCAATACTTTCAAAAACATAAACTGTTGGATTTCGAATTTTACATCATATCTGTTATGTTACTTTCAGGTGGGAAGACAGGTAGTTTTAAAAGAGATAATTAATAATAGTTAGGTTACTGATAAAATTTTTAGGAAAATAACTTGCAAATATATTGAAAATTGAGGAGTTTTAATTATAAATAAAATATTTAAATTCTAAATGTAACTCTTAATTTATAATTAGAATTCCTATTTGCACAGTATCTGAATCATTATTTGTAACTTATTTTTTGAAAAGTATTGTTGGGATCGGATTATTGTAGATTCTTTCTTTTGAAGCTTTTCTTTTTATTAGAATTTTTATTGATTCCATGCACCATCTTGGTAAGGATTTGGATTCAGTGATTGTAGATACTAAGTGCTTGTATTATTTGAATCGTTAAAATTCATATTAATAATTCAGATAAACTCATTCATTCATTAATTTTAAGTGAAGTATAAATTTAAAATCATTAATATAAATTTTAACGGTTTAGATGATGCAGGTATTCAATACTTATATTAAGTACAATTATTGAATCCAAATACTTTTGGTTAACTTCGATTGTGAATATTTTGTTTCATGAACTTTTGTTATAAATACACCCTAACACATGAATAATTAACAAAAACTTTAAGATATATAGGTGATATCTTCTAAAAGATTGTTATTATAAATTCAGCAAAATATATATTTTATTCTCTAACTTTATATAAAGTTTCTATTTAATTACTTAATTTTACAAAGTATTTTTTTTAATTTTTTTTGTGAGCCTCAAGTAATTTTTTGTGTGCCAATCGTTATTTTAAAAAATTAAACTTAATATGTTAATAATTCAAAGTTCAATATATGTATTGGCATTTTTCTTTACAATGTTAGAGGAATATTGTATATAGGATTAAAATGACACTATAAAATTCAGCAACCAAAACGAAACCTTATATAACATTAAAAGATCAAATGTAAACCTTTATCTTATAAATAATTCACTCAAGATTTTGCTGATCATGATCACAAATATAAGTAAGAGACTAATTAAGGTTTACCATTGCAGCCTCATCAATAGTGGAGGGCAATGCAGTAATTGACTCAGGGTCAAGAATGTCATTATTGCCGGAAAATTTGTACTACCATGTGGAATCAGAAGTGGCAAAAAGGATTAAGCTGAATCGCAGTGATAATCCACACAAACCTTTCAAACTTTGCTATGAATCAGAAAGCATTGAAAGTGTTAAAGCTCCAATTATAACGGTTCATTTTAGAGGTGCAGATGTGAAGCTAAGTCCAATTAATAGCTTCCTTCTTGTTTCTCAAAATGTAGCGTGCTTTGCTTTTGCCAGCTTCTCAGAAATAGACATGGGGCTCATAGGTAACTTGGCTCAGATTAACTTGTTGGTTGGGTTTGACTTTCAAAACAATATTGTCAACTTTAAGCCTATGGATTGTACCATGCTCTGATAATTAACTCATGAGGAGGTGGCTAATTAGAGCATCAGAGCATGTTAATAAAATTATTATATCTGATGTTTAGTATTACTTGGTCAAATTCAACATTATCTGATTCAGTTGAGGGTTGTGTGCTATTTTTTTTACGATGATGATGGAAGCAAAATGAATGGTGAGAAAGGAATGTGAATAAATTTTGATGAACTATAGAATAAGAATAATTATAAAATCAACATTTTGTTCCCTCTCTTATATTATTATTATTATCATTATTTTATGTTGATAAAAAAATTAGGTGATTTGGGCCTCTCTAGAGTGAGTCATATCTTTGGATTCAAAGAAGGCCTAGATAAATATTTACAAATTGCTTGCTGGCAATATTCTCATATTAATAGTGGGATTTAAACCCAATTATATATCTTAGGAGTTATAGAACTGAACAAATTTTGTTAATGCTTCTAGATGAAAATAATATAGAAATGAAACTAAATTACCAATACTATTAATTAAAAATGTATTCAAATATTAGTTTCAATTATTTATTTTTGAAAAAAATCAAACACATTTAATCAAGTATATTGAATATTCTGTTCAAATTTAAAAAAAAATAAAAATTGTTGGCGAAAACTTGAGAATGCATATATATTTCATTGATTTATAAGTCCAAAACCTATTGAATTTGAGAATGATGACGGTTTCCATAATTTTCGAAGACTCAATAAATTCATGCATATGTATAGCGATAGAGAACCATCCACCAATAAATTAAAGGGGACAAAAACAAATGCATCACAAGTTTCTTAAAAAAAAACAAACTTAAATACATGCATGTCTTACACATTTACAGAAGGAAAATTAGAGTGTTCGATGGTCCTACATAATGCAATGCTAAATTTATCAAAATTCACATTTACTCTTATTTCTTATAAGTTTTGTCATTCATCCAACATAATTTCTGTCTGGCTTATCCTTTCTCTAAGATCATCAACAAAATTAAAGATTTTGCTATGAGATATTAGACTATCACACTTGACCATATTTTTAGATAAGTGAATAAATGTGCAAATATTCTTACTCAAAAAAATACTTAGAGACAACTTTCATATTATAATCTAATACTAATTGCCATTAAGATGCAAAGACATCTTTTCATTTTTTATACGACTTGATTTGTTTGTTTCTTGCACAGTTCATCCATAGCCTTGTATTAAAAAAAATGGTTCCACAAAAGTATTAATGAGATTCAGTAACTGCAATTACTCCCAAATCACCCGCTTACACCTAATGTTTATACTGGTTACAAAAGATTGAGATTGTGTGTACGTAAATATATACATAGTCATTTTTTATCATTGTTTGAGATTACAAATTAAGAAATCACTGAATCACAGTCCATGCACCAATAAGCTAAAGATAAATAAAACGTATGCGTCTCAGTCATTTTCAGATCAATATTCAATTAAAGATATGATATACCATCAACCAAGATATACCAATTATATATCTATAAATTAAAAGTGATATCTATGAAAAGTCACGCACAGTAATTAATGGTTCATTTTGTCACCATACAAATACATATAGGACCCAATCGGTTAAACATTTAAATCTTTTCTCCATATTATCACTACATAAAGAGACACTTATGGATTATATTATTTACTTACCAACACACTCATAAACATGGCAGCATCATCTTCTAAACCCTATTTACTTGTCTCTCAAAAAATCTTCATCATCATCATTTTCTCTTCAGTCATATCATCAGTTGCCAAGGCAAAAACCAAACATGGCTTCACCGTGGAACTAATACACCGAGACTCTCCAAAATCTCCATTCTACAATAACTACTCTACACCATTATCTCCCTTTCAGCGAGTGGACAATGCTCTGCGTCGATCCTTCAAACGAGTGAATCATCTGTTGGCTAAATCTGCAGAAGTTGATATTGCTGATGAAGATGCTGAATCTGAAGTGTTCTATAGAGATGGAGAATTCCTCATGACTTATTCCTTGGGCACACCAGGGATAGGCACAAATGGAATTCTTGACACAGGAAGTAATCTTGTATGGTTACAATGTGAGCCTTGTGATAAATGTTTCGACCAAACACTCCCAAAATTTCATCCAACACAATCCTCTAGTTATGTGAGCCCTAATTGTAATACACCGCGTTGCCAATTTGCAAGAGCTTCTGTAGATAAGATCTCTTGTAGCGACTCATTGTTATGCGGATATGAGAAGTCATATGTGAATGGTTTTGTTTCCAAGGGAGTCATAAGCTATGACACGCTCACACTTAGCCTATTAAGTGGTAGTAGAGCTGCGTTTCCCAGAACCGCATTTGGCTGTGGACATGATAACGGCGGAGTTAGGGTTTCTTCGCAAACATCTGGCGTTGTTGGCCTCGGAAGAGGACGGCTCTCATTAATCTCACAAATGGGTCCTTCTTTTAAAGGCAAATTTTCTTATTGTTTGATTGATCCATTCTTCAGTGATGTGTCTAGTACGTTGAGTTTTGGTCAAAGTGCTGAAGTTTCTGGACCTGGGACTGTGTCCACCCCCATTGCGTCAACAGTCGCAAAAAGCAATTTATATTACCTCACGTTGGACGGAATCAGTGTGGGAGACACCAAACTAGACTTTATTGCAGGTGATGATTAACTCAATCCCGTTGAATTTTCGAACACACACACACACACACACCCCCTCCCTCCTATCCCTGTTATAGAGTACCTACTAGAAGGAATTTTTTTTTTTAATCTTTAGATAAGGCACATGAAAGATTATTCATTACCATTTTTTAATTTTCACTCCTATAATAAATTTAATTTTATGGTTTATTGTATACTATGTATCTTTCTTTTTCTATTTTTCATAGGGATAAAGTTAGAAAAAAAATTATTTTAAGACATTTAATTAGTTAACTGCCATCCCGTAATTCCAGTAAAATAACTAAAAATGTCTCATGATAGAGACAAGGGAGAGTGTAAATATAACATCATATTTCATTCAAGGACATCCATTGCACATTTTTGTTTTATTGATTATTAATGCAGTTTAAATGATTGCACAAACTTTTCAGAATTTATAATTAAGATTTGATTTAATTTGACATTGAGGATCCCCCTATATATGCCTAATATATATCCACGAGAGGTGAATTGCTTGGTATGTGTTTGCTTCTTCTTACAGTCCCAAATGTAAAAGTTAGAAAAATAATTTATATAGATTAAAACAATTAGTGAATTTATTTGTAAAGTAGTATATATCAGTTTTTCTAAAATGCATCTTCTCTTAGTCTTTTGTATGCAACATTATCTATGTTAATGGTAAACAAAAATGTGTGTAGCCAATTATTCCCAATATTGATAAACCATACATTTGTAAATAGCTAATGTGGTTTACTGTAGATATACTACAATAAAATGAACCTTTGGTGATGAGTTTGTTTGTGCACATATATACATGTTAAAGTTTAATAGTTTTAACTTTTCTTAGTCCATATTTTTACTCAAGTTCTCAAAATTCAAGTTTATGATTATATATATTAGTTGTTGAATCTTATTTTATTCAACATGAGACTTCTCACACTATTAACTTAAATTTACTCACGCTTAAACAACTTAATATAAATATTTATCATTGATTCATTTGTCACGTACGTATTCATTTTCATTAAGTATTATGTTGATGACACTAGAGTTCATTGTAGGTAATGTTTCAAGCTCAAACATAAAAGTAGAGAGGGAGGGCAATATGATCATAGATTCTGGGGCAACACTAACTGCATTGCCAGAAGAATTTTACTTGAGATTTGAAGAACAAGTTGCAAAATTGGTGGACCCTTTATCAAGACGTGTCAATAGCCCAAGAAAACGTCTGAGACTTTGTTATTCAAGGAGCAGAGTTGAGAATGTGGGAGCTCCCACCATTGTTGTGCACTTTAGAGGTGGAAATGTGAAGCTAAGTGCAAAGAATAGCTTTGTTAAGGTTGCTCCTAAAGTAATATGCCTTGCTTTTCGCCCTGTGACTTCAACTTCAGGTTCCGGCATCTATGGCATCTTGGCTCAGATTAACTTCTTGATTGGCTATGATCTCTACAATAATCGTCTTTCGTTTATGCCACAAGATTGCTCTGTCTACTGATGATTATATGCTTGTATTATCATACACACACACATATATAAAGAGATTTATGGGTTGAAAGTCTTTTGTACCCACAACTATGTATTCATTCAAGAGTTATCTTAAACTTACCGTGCGGTATAATTTTTTACTTTAGCATTTGAAAATGGTTTTTGACTATTAGTTAACTGAAAAAAAATATAGAAAAAAGAACTTTAAAAATTCAAAAAATGACCTACAAATTATAAATGAGTATCCTATAAAAAAATTAATATTGATTATATGTCCCTAAAATAGTGTGATGATTTCTAAGTCTTCATCCAAAATTTACAAGTCTCCTTTCAAAAATTTATAGCTAATATGACAAACAATTCATTTATAAATAACAGATACACTAATTAAATTATAAATTTCTAAAAAATTTGTAAATCTAAAAATTTAACTTCTAAATTATATGTCTTGTAAATATTAATAATATTTAAATTATTATATAAAAATTATAGATATTTTAATAATTATATAAATATATATTTTTTAATTATTTATTGGTGTTATTACCAACAATTGTGATTTTTTAATTATCTAGTAGCTGCTAAAAGTAGTTGGTGAAAATTATTTTTTAGTATTTTAATTGATGTTGTTAATATATATATTATTTATTAAAATTTATTTTTTAAATCAAGTATTACAAGTAGTTATAAATTCAAGAACATCTTGGACTTCGAAAGAGTATTGTTGATATATATATATATATATTATATAATAAAATTTATTCTGTTGAGATATATTATTTATTAAGATTTATTTTCTTGAAATTTAAGAAATATTTTATATTTTTTTGGCCTAAAGAAATATTTTATTTTTATTAGTCATTATTAAAATATTTATTAATGATTATTAAGACAATTTATATATGTTATAAGTGTCCTCTCCGCACATCACAAGAAGTTACTTGAAGGGCAGAGAGACTTAAAAAAGAATATCAAAGTTGAAAGAGAAGAAAAGAGACTTGAAAAAGTAAAAAGCAATGGATGCAAAGGATGTCAGAATGTCAGGTGCGTAAAAAGAAGTTGCAGGAGGTCTAAGGGGTGGTGCATATTGTTGCGGTGTGAAGAGAGGACCTGATCTGTTGAAAATCTGGCTCTCATGTGATGAAAGAAGTTAGAAGATCAAAAGAGACTTGAATAATTCTCTGTTGACGTAAAAGACATATCCTAATAATAATTAATAAATATTTTAATTACAATTAATTAATATAAAATATTTTTTAAGTTTCAACAAAATAAACCTTAATAGATAATATATCTCAACAGATATTAATTTTTATATGGTACTTAAATGTAATTTTATAGATCTTTTTCTATGATTTTTTTAAATCATTTTTGTAAATTTTAAGTTAGCTAAAAGTCAGTTAACCTTTTTAATAACGATGCGTCAAATGCACCATTTATAAGTATTGAGGAGGCAAATTGTACCACAGGCAAGTTTAGAATATTAAACATCCCCAAATGAATAATTTAATCTTGATTTATTTGGTTCTAAAATGAGATGTGATAGATTTATAATTATTTAAATTTAAATTTATATTTTCAACTGGTTCTTAAAAAATTATTAAAAATTTATCTGTCATTAATTTTCTTTATTTTACCGTGATTCTCCCCTCTTTTACAAGGTATATACATAAAGTTCTTTTACAATATAATGACACAGTGTTACATAAAGTTTTTAACGTAACTTATTTTCAAGCATCCGTGAAATTATTGTTGATAATAATAATTTCACCAGTGTGAGTTTGGATTAATCTAAGCAAGTGGTGATAGTATCTCAAATTTTTCAAGATATTAGCCAATGGAATAAAAAAAAACATGATAAGATTTGTTTACAAATTTAATATAAAATATAAAAAGCTGATCAAAATAATATAAAGTATAAAAACCCATGCAAATATATTTTTTCTTTCTTTTTTTTTTTTAAGCCAAACATGCAAATGTATTCACTCATCCTACTTATACCAACCAATCTAATATATTTTAAAATTTATAGCAATTGCAGTTGCAGGAAATGACACTTTATTAATGTAACCAACTAATACATGAGCCCACTCTTATTAATTGATATTTGATAAGTACTTTCTGTTTCTTGGCGGCGAGCAGACCAAAGCAACCCAAGCACGTCAGAGGATTACTGTAATTTTTGGACCCAACGATTGTTTCTCCAGCTTTCAAAATGCTCGGAGCTGCTGCAACTTTCACTGCATTGGGGTTTCAACCACCATTCAACTTCACCAACGCCAATTCTGTTCCCAGAATTTGTTCCCTCAATAAACGTTCAAAATCAAGACTTCAATTGACCCATCCCCATCTGCATTTTACTTTCTACAAAAGTAGCAGACGACGAACCCATTTCCATGAAGTAGCTTCATCTTCATCTTCATCTTCATCTTCGGGTATTTGCATTTCGGCACTTAGCTTCTTTTGTTTTCACGTTCTGTTTCTTTTTCGTCTTCCAATTTGTGAATTATTACTTGGGTTCTTCTTCAATTGCTGATTTTCTTATCAAATCCCCTTGCTGTATTGAAATCGACAACAATGCAGAACTGGATGGAAAGTATTTTTTAAAAATGTCGAAGATTAGTGCTCCAATTATGAAGATTTTTATATTGCATGATAAAGAAAATTATTTTTTCCTTTGTTAAAATTTAGGTTCCATGGGTTATCTGACTCGAATCAGTTTAACAGAATAATATCTAGCTTTTCATTATTTTTATTGGCAATGTTTGAGTAAAAAACCTCAGGAAGATCTTTTAGTAGTAGTGCATTGAGGTTTCATACACTACAACGTAAAAATGAACTTTTTACTTTGTTGAATGTAGCTTCCATGAGTAATCTGGCTCAAGTTAGTTTCAAATAGTAGTCTCTTTGAGAAGCTGAAGATAAATTAAAAGAACGCAGTATAAATGATTTTATTCCCTTGGTGTCTTTGAGACAAAGTGACATTGGCTAGTATCATGTTGCTTGTAAAATGTTACAATTTCTATTGGAAATTTTTCTGTAAGGACCTTACATGAGACATTATTCAATGTAATTTCATATTTGTCAAGCGAAGTTGCTTTACTAGAGGCCAAGGATACTTATGTCTTTTGGTTCCTTTCATCTTCGGTGATCACTCAAATTTTTTGAGAATTTTTCTACAGTCTCATCTCACCATTTCCAGACTTCACTTTCCAATTTTCTTGGTGGAAGAATTTTATGCAGTACAAAGTAATTCAAAGATTAATTCACTAGTTCTGGATTACTATATTCTACTTTTGGTATGGGTGGAGGAAGGGTAGAGATTCAACTGTTACAGATTTTTCTTATTTTTTCCATGTGCCTCACCAACTCATTAAAAATTGACATCTTCTGTGCTTGTGATTGATTACTGCAGCCATAAATGCAGAACATGTAGAGGAACCAGCAACAAAAGTGAAATTTCAGACATATTTGAGTTTGCCAGGTTGCTCAAACTCATTAATGCTGTTTGGAACTGGTTAGTTGTCTGATAGCTTTTTAGACACATGTTGATTGCAATGAAGCATGTAGGTCATTTATTTGGACAGGCAATTGAACTTAGTGAGTTATGAGCTAGAAGTTTTTGAATTGCTGTTATACTTTATCTGCATTTTGTTGTCAACTATAACTCTTGTCTTCATGTAGTAAGCTTCACTGAAATAGTAAGCGTTCTTCCCCTACTATTATAAGTTGTGTTGGAAAATCATTATTTCAGGATACAGGGAGAAGATTTTTGCAATCGTTGGCGTCAAGGTGTATGCTGCTGGATTGTATCTAAATCAATCTATCACAAGTCATCTGAATGCTTGGCAAGGGAAGCCGGTAGATGTGATTCAAGGGAATTCTTCCTTGTTCCAAACCATTTTTCAATGTAGTGACTATATTAATTATCAAAGCTTTATTTCTCACAATGCTCTTATTTAATTACACCTAGAGAAAGATTAAAAGCTCATAAAGATCCATTTGTTTGATTGCAGCTCCCTTTGAGAAATCATTGCAAATTATTCTTGTCAGAGATGTTGATGGTAAAACTTTCTGGGATGCTTTAGATGATGCCATCTCTCCAAGAATTAAAGCACCCACGCCAGAAGATGATACTGCTCTGTCCACATTCCGTAGTGTCTTTCAAAATCGTCCTCTTAAGAAAGGAACTTCCATATTTTTGACTTGGTTGGACCTTTCTAAACTGCTTGTATGTATGGCTACAGTTTATTTTTATTTTATTTTTTGACTTTGTTGCAGAATTGTCACTGAGACTTTAAATCAACTTTGAAGTCTTTTTTTTTTTTAACTATATCAGTCTTCACTCCTGCATTTATGATAATAATTCAACTAGGTTTCGTGTGGTTTCAGGTTTTTGTCTCATCTCAAGGACTTCCTTCTACAGTGGATGCTACAATTGAATCTTTAAATGTTGCTTCTGCACTTTTTGATGTATTTTTTGGAGATAGTCCTGTCTCTCCCACCTTGAAAGCTTCGGTGGCCGATGGCTTCTCAAAAGTACTCAAGTAGAAGACAGTATATTGTATCCTCAGGCATTTTCATGTATCCGTTGTTTGTAGAGATGATGGCTTTATTGTTTAATGTACCCAGGTGTCGTATCTTTCCTCCATTTTGGTATTTCTATGAGCAGTTTGGAACTATCAAACAACCCTTGTTAGAGATGAATGATGGTATTGTTCATTACGTGATAATATATTGTTATCATATGCTCATCGAGTCCTACTTTTCATGCAAAGTTTGCCATTTTTTAACCTGTTGGCTGATGTTACATCACAAGCAGAGTGTCTTGTTTATTCACCTGATAATTTACCAGTATTATAGCACAAGCTTTGACAACAAAAACAAGAAATAATTAGTGTAATTTCTAAAATATACTTTTCCCCCAATCTTCTATTCCTTCTTAGTCGTGCATCCATGGGAGAATTTCATCCTTTGTTTGTAGTTCTTTTTACTGTTGATATAGCACATTGATGAAGTGTGGTCCATGTAACTCCGCCTAATGGGACAAAATTGCTTCTTGTTGTTCGCAGTCCTTTCAACTTGGTTTCATTGCGAATGCACATCGCTGTACCGTTTGATGTCCAAAGCTCCATATAATGACAAAAAAAATGAGCAAAATACGTTCAACTCCCTTTTCAAAACCTACTTACCGACTCCTCTAGTTTCACTTTATATGAGTACATAGAAGTTTCTAGAACCTAGACTCACTCCCTTTAGTTGTATAAATAATACACATGCCCCGTCGTTTCTAGTTTTCTTTAGCATTAGCTTGGCCTTGATGATTCGTGCTTCACGCCTTTTGGGAGCTTCCCCCCCGGGGGGGGGGGTAAATGCAGAGTATAAGCTCCGTTAACAATTATGTTATTAGAGGGTGTTTCTGCATGAACTAAATTTAGAGTGTGTCAGTTTTTGTTTTATGAACCACACAGACCTGCTGAACGTAATTTACTTGAAAATGTTACGATAGGGTAGTATACTGATTTAGTCTTTCAAGTGAACATCAGGAAGCTGGAGCAAGCTTGTCTGGCTTCATTTGCTCGAGTAAGCTGACAACTTCTGCCATTGTTGGCCTCTTCAATGGATCAGATTCAAGGCACATCATGGCAATCTTGAACACATTCTTAACTTCTTGCATTGGACAGGACCCTAGCCTATTGTCGAGAACTAGTTCCTCCTCCTTTTCTTGAACAACAGCCTTCACCTGCTCCGAAAAATAACAGCGGTTTATTTTACAGAAGTCAGTATTATTCAAAAGCTTTAAATACAATTTACGCAGTTTGGTCATTTTTGTAGAAGACTTAGTTCCCTGGTTGATGGTGTAGAAGTAATGGAAATGTTATGCCTTTCACAATAGAATACATTTTCTGTTTTTTTTTAATGCCAATGTGCATTTCTTATCAGTTTGATGATTTTAAAATCCACCTTTAATTTTTGCATAGAAAATTCAAATATAATGGTAAAATTTCTTGTGGTGTTCATTTCACGCTTATGTGTTGGCATTCTTACGGAGCTAGACATTATAGACTGTGATCATTTGAATAACCTAAAACGTCAGTAAGCTTATGAAATTGAAATTTGTCTGTTTAATATAAATCACAGTGAGGATTTTCGAACAGTTTGTGTCTTACCCATGTGACAAGCTTCGTTCCTTCTTCCATAAATGTTTCATCACTGGGTTTTCTCCCAGTTAAAAGCTCCAGCAGTACAACTCCGTAGCTGTAGACATCCCCTTTAAATGTTGCTCTCCCTGTGTCGAAATATTCTGGGGAAAAAAATCTTATCATTGTTTTTTGTACATATACATGGAGGATTGAGGGAAAAACTGATGATTAGCTGCGTTGTATCTATACCAGGAGCTAAGTATCCAAAAGTTCCAGCGACAACTGTGGAAACATGGGTTTTGTCTGGTTCCATCAACGTGGCTAATCCGAAATCAGAAACTCGAGCGTCCATGTTTTCGTCCAGCAATATATTGCTTGACTTGATATCTCTGTGGATGATATGAGGTATACAATCATGGTGAAGATAAGATATTCCTCTAGCAGCACCTATAGCTATTCTGTATCTAGATGACCAATTTAAAGTTTTCTTGTTCTCTGATCTTCCTGCATCATATTCCACTTTAGATCAGTTCATATGTAAATTCAAAAAATTCACTGTTTATTCTTGAAGGAATCTTGCAGGGTAAGTCTGATAAATCTCTTAGGAAAACCCTTGTTACCAACTTTCTCTATAGAAACTCTTTATATTGATGTAACTCAACCATGCCAGTTGAGCAAACCCTGTCATCTTCAAACTAAATACACATATTGGCAATCTGATTCCTATTGGGCTAAGAAGTAAGAAATACTAGTTTGGATTTAGAAAGAGATGGGAAGTAAAAAAATGAGTCAGTATAATTAGAAGATATGCATTACAATACACATCCACATTCTCTTACATCATTCTCTCTCTCTCTCTCTCTCTCTGAATGCATGATTGGAGAGGATCTAAAGGCAAGAAATACATACCATGGAGGAAGGTGTCCAAACTTCCATTAGGCATTAACTCATATATGAGGAGGTTGTAATGTAGAGCAGTATAATATCCATGAAGAGTTACAATATTGCGGTGTTTTATGTCTGCCATTGATTCCAGCTCTCTTTCAAACCCTTTATCTGCAGTTCCTCTGTTCAGTCTTTTCACTGCAAAAGCTTTTGAGTCATCTATGTTCAGTTTATAAACTGTCCCATAACCACCACATCCAATGACCTCCATATCATTCAGGTTCATCGTCTTCTTCAAGATCACATCAGATTTGAGGGATTGCAGAACCGAAGACCTAAATATTACCATCTTCCCACCTGTGCCATTCCATTACTGGATGTTAGCTAACAAACATAGACTTATTGACTGAGATACATGACAAGACACTATAAATCTCTTAGATGCCGTACTATTCGCGAACTATAGACAATACAATTCATTCTTTAGCTACATTCCATGTAACACACACAGTTTCTGTTATGGCTTAAGTGTGTGTATGCATGTCTTTTTCATAGCTCCTGATTTACCTGCATAGCCTTCTGCGTGAATCATGTGCTTTCTTTTCCATCTTTTGTAGAGGAGGACTGAGATAATGATCTTGGAAATGACAAAAGCGATGCAGGATACTGTGATGTAAAAGGCTAAAAGCAAAGACTTGCTCATTTGATGCTACTAACTGAGCTGGTGCTGAATTTTGAAGAACCTCAAGGCAGACTGAAATTATCGTAGTGTAAACCGTTCAGTTGATATAGATCTCAAGGAAAACAGAAAAATTCAAGATTCAAAAGAGAAACTCTCTTAAGATTCCTGTACATAAAGTGGGGATCTGGTATTTGTTAAAGAAGATGAAAGGCTTTTCAATGGTTCTAAGAGCTACTCTGCGAGATTTCTGGAATGGTTGAAGAAGCAAGAGGAAGTAGTAAAGTGTAGTTCACTTTCTGCTCTGCTCAATTGATCTGAATTTTCAACACAAGTGACAGCATTTGATTTAAAAAAATATGGGCATTGGTTAACGCGTTGAAAAGCGTGGGAAAGTTCATATTTTGTCGCAAGAAAAACCTGGCACATCCCTGGACGTGTGAAAACGAGGTTTATGACCAAAAGAGTAAAGCGCACATGACACTGCTAGGTGGACAAAATCAAGATATACAGGTAACTTCCACGTTTCATACAGGACAAGGTTTTTATGTCCACGTAAAAATGGATATAATTTACATTAATCATAAATATATACAAAAAAAAATATAATGAGTGACATAAATTCACTGATTCAAATAATATTACATGTGGCATAATAACTATATGAATTACATGTAATGATAATTTCATGACTTTTGAAGTATGATGGGACCTAACACATCATCATGGGTCATTGGGAAGTATCATTTTATATTTTACTTTTAAGATGATCCAAATTTATCACCTTCACATTAGGTGGAAGAAAAGAGTTGGCTTGGAAGAGAGAGAGAGAGACAATTAGTGTTTGTTTGAGTTTGCATGTTTTCTAAATTTTTAATGCATGTTTGTACTCTCTCCAAGGCAAATCCAAACGTACCCTTATTCTCCTCCATATATACATGTACTGACGTACACAGACAAAAAAAAAACAATAAAATAAATTTGTGCCAATGATGTTGAATACGAAGTGTTAAAAAAAACCAATAAAATAAATTTGTGATAGAAAAAAACAATGCTCTTAATTCTATCTATGTGCTCCTAGAAAGATTAAGAAGATCAATGTGAATGGATTTCAAGCTTATCACCAAGAAACAATTTGGATTGGGCGGTGAGCTACCGATTTTGAATTCATGACATGGAATGATTATATGTTGCGTCACCGCTTACTACGTGTCCCTTTTCCCCTAAATATGGAACCTGCCGATTCATGAGCCAACTGGACGGTCCTTCTTAAAATTAGTAAGAGGCAATTATTTCTAGGTCCCACGTAATTCCATTTTTTTTTTTTTTGCCAGTAGGTCTCACGTAATACCTTGCTCAAACCTTTTGACAACTTCAATATAGTAAGGTCCTGTTTGTTTAAAATTTAACAATAAACATTAGATAATTTAAAAATTTTATAAAAAGAGATTTATTTTATAAAATTTTATAAAAAAACATTATTTTATATTTAATTATAATAATAAAAATAGATTATTAATTAGTTATTTTTAAATTTTATCATATCTTCTTTGATTTTTGTTTTATAAAAATAATTTATTATTATATTATTTTAAAATTTTATAATATCTTTGCGTATTTTGACTCTTTAAAACATTCTCTCTTATCTATCATATCAGATTACTTTTAAAAGTTACTCAAAATATCTCCTTACAATAATTAGAAATCTATTATTTTTCATATTCTGATTATTTTTTTAAAGTTTAATTAAATATTATAAAAACTCATAAAATAATTTTTAAAAAAAATAAGTGCTTTTCTTTTATAAAATAAGCTGAAACAAATTTGCTTAGTAAATCGATTATTATATTAATTGTCAGTTTGTTATACTCAAGCTAACAATTGATTTTATGGTATTTTAAGGCGTTGTGTTAGACTCAAGAGTAATTTTTCTGCCCAAAAAAAAAAACAAAAGAAAACAACAGAAAGTAAAAATTGTGCATATACTTCTCACAAATGCGATTTCAATTGATAATGATTTGGTTCATATTTGTACAAGGATATGGCGTTAAGCTCCATTTGTTTCAGTTTAAAGGAAAAGGAACAAAATTTTCAGGTAATGAATCACTTTTCATGAAATTTTTGAATTCTTTAAAAATCACCCACGACCCGTTCATTTTAATTTTTTTTATAAAGAAAATGACTTTGAGAATTTTTAAAGGTTTGTACAGACTTTAACAATATTAAAATGTGAAAAAGAAATTAGAATATTTCTTATTATTTTATAAAGCTTTTTTTTGGAATAGTTTCTAAAATTGATCCCATGTGGTAGATAAAAAATAATATTCATAAAATAAAAAATATATGAAAATATCATGAAATCTGAAAATTACTTGAAAATAATTATTCTTATGACCTTAAAAAACACAAATAATTTATGGTTTTTAAAAAAATTTATTTTAGCATGCTAATCATATTAGTAGGTGATTTATAACAATATTTAGAGATTATCTACTTAAACGATTTTTGGCCATAAATGTTGGAGGAGGTCTTTTTTTTTTTTTGTGGGTTGAAAACCGGGCAAAGCCCAAAAACTGTATTATTCTACTAAAATTTGATCCGATGGTTTGTACCCCAATGGCGTCTCGATACAACTAATTTGCGAGCTCACTGAGAGGCTGAATAAGAATTCTGCACCTTTGGTGTTGCCTATTACCATAATTAGCAAGCCAATCAGAGCACACACATTACCCTCATGAAGAAGATGGTTAACTTGAACATGACAATCAATATAGATAAATTGAAAAAGCATGCTTGAGGTGCCAGTAATTAGACTCTGCTTGCTGAAGCATCTCTTGGAATCTCTGGACAAGAGTAATCGAGTCACTTTCAATGAAAAGCTATTTAACTTGCATCTCATGAGCCACTTTGATTTCATAAAAAGCACTCCAAAATTCAGCTTCTAGCTCCGAGTAACTCCCTAGACTACAACTAAAGCCTCCAAACCATACTCCATCTTCATTTTAGATTTTCCTCCACATTCTGCAGAATGCCCATTCATGCTCTCATGGATAGCCATGGCAATTGGCAAAGTTTAAAATGTTTGCCTTGAGTTCATGGGGTGGCACTATTTTATTTTATTTTATTTTATTTTATTTTAACTTTTGGTTATTCAAGATATCCTCGCAGCTGGTAGCGATAAGACTAATCTTCAAGAAATTTGAGTACCTGAAATGATGTTTAAACAACTCAAACCACTATCATCTATGCCACACCCACTTGGTGGCACTATTTTATTGTTAAATATCTTGTCATTTTTGTTTCTCCAAAAGGCTCCAAAAATAATATTCCAAGCAACAAGCCTGGCTTGTTTTTTGGGTTTGTGAGTTCCATTTAAACTAATCTTGTTTTGCCATTAGGAAGAACTGGGCATGATTTGTATTTGAGATAAAATACCTCCTGATACCTTGAGCTATACTGGAGTCCCTTAGAACATAAATGACATCCTCCATCACATTGCAGCACCTGTCACAATGCATTTGTGCCCCAAAAATTTAATCATACACATGTATCATTTTATTAAAAAATATTTTCAATCTGATGCTAAATTTGAGTACCTTATATCATAATTATATAATTATACTTCCTCCAATCCTTATTATACGGCACTTTTGTGAGAAGAGATTAATGGTACTTAATATAAGATATTTTATGGGATATTAATTGTATTTTTCAACTCTATTTAAACTTATTGATTATAAGAGAAATGTAATGGAAATTTAATTTTTTTCATTTAAATATGAGTAAAATTTTAAGTTTATTTTTCAGACAAAATTAATAACTAAATCATCCCTCATTGGTTCTAATGAGATAGTTAGATGTATTTGTAATAAAAATTGAAAGGAGCATGAATTACATGATTTAAGGGTGTGTGTGTTTTATTTCCTTTTTTCCCTGAGTGACTTTGTCTTTTTTTTTTTTCCTTACTTTTGATTTGCAAATGATTATATAAAAATACTCTTATTTATCCAACAACTTTAATTTATTCAACACATTAATTACGGGCAAGTTTGGGGATATGATATATATTTTAATGTTTTAATTGTATCTTTTCATATATATTTTTAAACCTTGAAGGCTTAGATATATGATTAGTCTTAAATACTTAATATATTTTTATCCAGTTTAATCAAAATAAGTAAATATTAATATATTAATAATAAAATTTTTTTGGAGTATAAATAATCTATAAAAAAATTCTCACATTTTGATTTAATTAAAAATAAGTATATTAAATATCTAAAGCTAAATATATAAATTTTTTATGAAATGGAGGGTTGTTATGAGATCCTCTATAGAAACTTTTGATATTTCTTAACCTAAGACTTTTTACAAAATTTGGTGAAGCATTTTTTTCCTTTTTCTATTTTTAAATATTTAAAAATAGATTCATTAATCAAAAGAGATTACAAACTAATACTAGACCGATTTGGAAAAGACCTTTCATAAAGTAAGATAATCAAAGTGATGTGATTAAGGTTGGTACAGAAATTAATCACTAATCACTTTATCTAAAGGTCGTGTTGTAAAATGATATCATAATTTTTTTAAAAAAATAAGATTCTTACTTTATCTACTTTTAATCACATTTTTAATATGAATAATTTAATTAATTTAAAATATCTATGATAATATTTGACTTTCAAACTGCGAACCATTAATCAATTAATACCCACATACATGAATCACACACTTCTATATGAACCTCATAGTTAATTCTAAATACATGAACCAAGCTCTTCATTAATTCACACATAACATAACACTAGCAACCCAGCATGATTTTAAAAGATACTTACCGTATTTAAATTTACTTTTTTCTAACTTGATAAAAAAAGATCATAAAAATACCCCAATTAAATCTAACGATACTCAAATCTAATTTAATAATATAGGATCTTAAATAATTATATTTAAAAAATCACTTGCAATAAATAATATGGCACTACACCTTGTAGTATATATAATATTCCCAAACCATATGTTTCTTTAATTCATCAACACTCATCACAAAGAGACCAAAAAGAGAGAGCTTTATAAGGGAACTTGTAACAGAGATTTGTTTTGAGCATAGAGTGATCATGTCTTTCAATAACAAAGTTTCTGTCATTGCCATGTATTTTGGGTTGCTAATGCTTCTTCTCACCGGTTTGTGCCACCAACATTATTCACTCATCTAGTATTTTATTATGCTACATCAGTCCCATGTTATAAGATATATTTAGCAGTGATTTAATGATTTATATTATTAAATATTTTTAAAAAAATTATGATTCATTAATGAAACTTATTCCAACATTATTTCCCATTATCATTTAAGAAAAATATATTTACAGATCCTTGCAGTTTTGTTCAATTTTGAATTAAGTATTTATAATTTTTAATCCTTAATTATTAAAATTCTTAAACTTTTCCTTTTGAAAACACAAAATAATAACTTTTATATTTTTATTAAATAATTATATAATTTTAGAATTAATTAGTTAATTTTTAGCACTCAAAATTTATATGATTAGATTGTCTTCTAAATATTTTATACATATATAATTTTCATAAAAAATTAATTAAAAAAGTAAATGGTGTATTAAATCATTTTTTATTTTGCCTAAAATTATTAAATTAAATTTTCTGTAAACTCTAAGAGTTTTTTTGATTTTATTCTTCAAGGGTTATTATATATAATAGATCAAACTATAAGGTTTTGATTAAAATAAATAAATTATAGGAACCTAATTTAAAATTGAGCAAAACTATTAGAGTCTGCAAATTAATCTTTCCTTTCATTAATTATCACTTTCCCTCCCTCCCTCCCTTATTATTAGATGGAGGATATTTATCAAAATTTACAATTTTTAAGAAATTATTTGACTTAATTGATATTCACATTTTTATCCAAAAAAAAAAAAGTTTTACAGAATGAGATGGAGGGAGTATTTTGTTACGTGTTGTTCCTTTTCATCAAATTAAATATAAAAAGAGAGAAGAAGCGAAGTAGAATTAATTATTTGCTTCACTTATTGACAAAGTTGTTCGTTTGTTTTGATCAGAAATGACGGTCGCTGCTTCATGGTTAGGAGGCAAGTATTTCTGCTAAGGGCAAATTTTTGTTAGTTATCAATGTCAATGTTATATATAATAATTTTTAAACAGGTTATTATACCATTTATATGTTAGAAACTTTGGGACTTTTTGATCTCCGTTTTTAAAATTGTTCTAATTTTTTTGTTTTTAAAAATAGAAAATTTTAGAATTGTTTTCATTTTTATTTTTAAATTACATTACATTTTATTATTATAAATTATCTTTAATTATAACTATCATCATTAATCATCAGCGATCATTAAAAATAATCATGCAAAAGATAACAATTGTAACATTCTAATTTAAATTTTAATAGTTAATTCGGGTTAATAGAAATTTTAAAAAATATTTAAAGGTAAGCAAATTAGTAGAAGATGATTATTAAATCTAACTTAGGATATAATTCTAAATTAAAATTTTTTTAAAAATTAATTAATTAATTAAAAAAAATTATTAAATTATTATTATTATTATAAAAAAAGAGAAAATGTATGAATAAAAAAAAAGGGGGAAGAAGAAGTGAACGTTCGGCGCTCTCCCGATGCAATGAGTATGTATATATAATAATAATAATAAAAAGAAAGAAGAGAGAGGAAAGAGAAAAATAATAAAAAAATTGTGAGACCCACATTCGTTTTTAAAAACCACCGTTCTCTTCTCATTTTTCCTTCATTTCCTTTCTCTTTCGTGTGCAGACAGAGAGAGCGTCTGTGAAAGCAAGTTCGCCGGTGCGGGAGATCTGAATTTTTAAGGTAAGAGTTTTTAATAGGATATTTAGGGTGTGATTTCAAGCTTTTTAAGACTAAGTAAGTTATCTAAATTTTATTCTTAGCCATCCTTCCTCTTTGGTTTTTGATTTTGTGGTGGTAGAAAATTTAGGATCTGGAAGAGCGATGAATTTATGTTGAATAAATATAGTTTTTGAAGTTGTTAGTAGTATAATAAATATTCTAGAGTATAAATTTGTTGATGATCTTTGAATTTATGGCTTAAGGATCAAATTTTAGACTATATTTTTATTAAATTTGAAAATATATGTTGAATTATTGAGGTTTAGATGATTATTTGGGATGAAAAATGAATTATTATGGCTATGGGATCATGATTCTAAGCTTGAGACTCAATTTTTAATTTTTAAATATTTTAGGTGCGAATTTATGAAATAAAAAGAAAATTTTGATAATAGAAATTAGTTTAGGAGTTAATTAGATTATTAGTGATTGATGAGTAAAAGATTATTAGTGTTTAGATGAGTAAAAGAGGAGTTAAAATTTTACTTAATAGTATTAACTCTAGATTTGTATTAAGATTGAGATTAGAAATTATGTTATATTTTTAATTCTATTATTAGAATTATTTTATTAGTTTCAATAATTGAAACTAATATTTATAAATAATATATTATTTGTAGATTGTGTTGTCGGTGAAGATTGTAGTGAGAGAGAAATTTATAAGAAATAATTTATTGAAAAAGCCACGAGGTAACCATGCTTTTAATTTGTGATTAGTGTTACTTCATGTTAATTGGGTGATTATTGAGAAAATTATAAATTTTGTAATATTGTATAATTGTGCAATATTATTATGAATTTGTTTGATTATTGTGGGAGATGTTGGGAGACTTGCTATTATTGTTGTATTTATGTACCATGTGGTACACCCCTATTGGAGCTCAATAGGTGGCTTGTAAGGGCTCGGGCTAATTTACCTTTGGCCGGGTAATTTAGCACCGAGTGAGGGCTACGGCTCGAGGTTAATAGAGGGATATAAGGATGGTTGTTTATGTGTATTGTAATATTTTTTATATTTATTAGAATCATATTATTTTTAATTCTCACTTAATAAGCACACACTTAACTGTTTGTATACACTATCATAAATTAGCTTTGGTTACTAGGACTTTTGAGTCTCATTATGTGGTTAATAATTTTCAGGAGAAGAGCCATGAGTAACACGTGGAGGAGTCCCAGAGGCTCAGTGGCATAGATCCACTGTCTCTTTTGGGTATTTGATTTATGATTTATAATATTTTATATTGCCAATATTAGGGCTTTTTGTTTATTGACAATTATATGAATATATAAATGTAATCATGCCTTTCAAACTATTTCTATTTTTGGTACACTTTGGATGACTATAATTTTAATATTTGGTTTACTTTGAATTGGTTAAAATGGCATGATTATGAGGCCAAATAACTGGCTTGTTTTGAAAATTGACTAAATTAGTTATTTTACTTGTTGGGAGTATAAGGATGAACAAATGTGATTTAGTTTATTTGTTGGGAGTATAAGGATGAACAAATGTGATTTAGCCTAATGACATGTGGGAAGTAAAAATTTAGCTGAAATGTTATATTGTGCGAGTTAAAACTAATTATAAAATATTTTTATATTAAAATTATTGATATAAAATATGTTGAGTTGCTGTAACCTAACTATGATTGAGTTAAATTATTTAAAAAAAATTGGTGTGTTACAACAATAAATTAGTGCTATTTTATTTTAATTAATATAATAAAAAATATCAGTCCAGCCGACTATTTTATGTATATATATGTAACCATTGAAACATTGAAGCTTCATTCAAACAAGCCCAAACTATTGAACCAAGAGAACCTTATTTAAAATGGATCAAGTCCTATTTTTGTGGAACTGATTGGCAAAGCCAAATCCAACTAATTCAACCTTTGAATGCCGTGAAGTAATGAGTGATGACCCACTCTACTCCTTTCAGTATCATATTTAAGAATACAAAACATTTTGATTTTTTTCAACATGTAATTAATAATATTTTTCAAAAAAGCCCTCAATTAAGAGGTGTAATTAATAATTTTTTTAATTAAAATATCTTATTAAATAAGAATAAGCATAAAAAGAGTGTTGAATTTTAAAAATAATTAATTAACTCATTAAGAATATAATTCAATTAAAGTATCATATAATAATGAACAGAATACATCTCAACTTTCATATTTATTTTGTCCCTAAGTATATGTCTTAGCATAGACTTCTATGTGTAATTAAAGTATATGTTCAAAAATATATGAAATAGAAGTTCTAAATTACATTTCCTATCCTTAGATATTCAATACATTGTAGCATTTAATTGAGGGTAGGAATGGAAAGAAAAAATAAATTATTACGCATCGCATAGATTTTAATTAATACTTGTTTAGAATGTGCATTTTGAAAAATTGGGACGTATAATAAGGGATGAAGGTAGTTATTTGATAGCCTAGCCACTGATCTCTTATCAATGTATAATTGACTCTTTATTAATGTAATATCCTTTTTACTTTATTTATACTGCAAAATTTTGTTGATACAAATAAATTGGTGTTCGTGCATGCAAGGTGAGATAACTTAGGTCACTTTTGAAAAGAAACAGAAAAAAAATGTAATACTCAATTCGTTTAAAAATATAAGGCATTTTAATTGAATTTTACTCTCTGATAAAGTAGATATCTACTTTTTAACTAATCCTATCTTTTTATATTTATTCCTATTAAACACCCTATAATAAATATAAAGTCATTATTAATAAGAGTACTTTTAAAAAAAAGGCAAGGATTATACCTCAAAAAATTAAAAATATTTTATATTTTTGAACATTCAACTTTTTAAAAAATACCTTATATTTTTAAACGGATAGAGTATTATTTGTATTATATATCATATGTTTATTATTACCTAATACCTATTTCAAAATATGATTTTCCGTTAATAAATTTTTTATTATTTATATCAAAACAAACCTAAGATCCCGTTTGGTTATTAAAAAAATAAATTAAAAAATTAATACAAATAATAAATTAAATCACCTTTTTCTCTCATGGTAAGTGTAATAAAATTTATTAACATATACTGTAAGTGTGAGAATCATCACACCCTCTAAAAATTTTATAAATCATGATTCATAATCCTTTCAATTAAATTATCACTTTTCCTTACAAATGTGGTTCATCATTTTTTTTAATCGTCTTATTTTTATTTTATTTTTAAATTCATTTCATTTTATTTTTGTTTTTTAAAGGTGGAAGGATTGGTGAAGTGACGATGGAAGCCAAAAATGAGGAATGCAGGACTGATTTTGTAAATGAAAATACAAGAGGCCCCACAGGAACATTGCCAAGTGGAACTCCAATATTCACAGTCACAATAACAAACAATTGCCCAACAAATTGCAGAATACTGGATCTGCATCTTAATTGTGAGTCTTTCACATCAGAAATCCCTATTCCTCCTAACATATTCAGAAGTGTGGGTACCAACGATTGCCTTGTCAATAATGGTCTTCCTATTGGGACTGGAAATGTTGTCACCTTTGAATATGCTCATCGTGAAATGTTCGATCTTCTTGTTTTATCCGTAGACTGTGCACCCTGATTCGCAATCTATTTATAAAATGTTTTAGATGATCGGAACTTTGTTAATGGTTTAAATAAATGAGAATTAAGAAATGATAAAATGTTGTCATATATTTATAGCTTGATTTAAGCATTTGGGTTCTAGAGTAAATTCCTCTTCTCACCGTCGAAATAGTATTAACATTTTTCCCAATATGACTATTATACTTTAAAAAAAAACCAACAAAATGATTTAATTATGAGATTGATCAAAGTTTGGTTAAGGGAGAGTAAGGATATCTTTGACATTTTACATGCGTTGGGGGACACCCAAGTTTCTCAAGATTTGTAAGTAGTTCAGCATATATCAATATACGTATGACTTATAAATAAGTTGGTTAAACTTGAGGTTTTTTTATAATTTCCCCATACACATATAAGCTCCCATGGAAAATATTTCAGATAAAATTGTTTTGGGATAGTATTTTTAGGTTTTGCTTTTTGAGGTTGAGTTTGCAATATTTTTTTTTTTTTAGGAATTACACTAATGGCCTTAAAAAGACAAATTATTTTACTTTGAGTCTGAAAAATTTTGATATTGTACTGGAGGTTCAAGGGTCCTTGTTACAATTTTTTTAAGATTAAAAATATAATTTTGCCCTTATATTTTGAAAACACAACTTGCACGATAATGTACAATATAATGTTCATTACACATAACACAATGTTTATATATTGTTAATTGAAAGTTCACGGGCGTCCAGTTTATCAGCAAACTTAATATAATATATAAGTTAGGCAAACAATGTACAACCATATTCACTATACACAGCATAATATTTATATATTCTCAACTGAAAGTTCATGCGCATCCAATTTATCAATAAATTTAATACAAAGTACAAGTTAGGCAAATAATGTATAACACAATATTCACTATGCACAACATAATGTTTATATATTTTCAAGTAAAAGTTCATGCTGTTAAGTTTATCAGTAAGCTAAGTTTAACCAAATATACGAGTTAGGCAAAGAATGTACAATACAATATTTACTATACACAATACAATCTTCATATATTTTCAACTGAAAGTTCATGCGTGTTCAGTTTATCAATAGATTAGGCTTAACAAAATATAAGTTAAGTAGATAATATACATTACAATATTGCTATGCACAACACAATGTTAATAAATTCTCAACTAAAAGTCCATGCATGTCCAATTTATCAGTTGACTAGACTTAACAAAAATTTTTTTAGATTTATTAAAACAGAAAGTCTGTACATAAAATGATAAAGTCCATTAATTAACAATACAATATTCATCTATTTCAAATGGTTTATATGATTAAGCTAAACATTTGAAAACATTTCTCAAATTTATGAACAACAAAAAGTCCGTATATCACATGAAAGTATTCATTTATTAACAACACAATGTTCATTTCTTTTACATGGTTCATGTTATTAAGTTGAACATTTGTAAAAGTTTTCCAGGTTTATGAACAACAGAAAGTCCGTATATAATATGACAAGATTCATTTATTAATAATATAATGTCCATTTATTTCACATGGCTTGTCTGGTTAAGTTAAAAATTTTCAAATAACATGACAAATTTCACATATTAACAACACAAAGTCTTTTTATATGGCACACATAAACATCTACATATATTAACAATATGTTTTGATTAAATTTTCACGAATAAATATATCATATTTGGATAATTTATAACTAAATTCACAACTGAATATCTAATATTAATAAAATAATGTTCATGTTTTCACAACACATAATCCAATATTTTGATTATCAAAAAATGAAAAGTTGAAGTTCCATGAAATGCCACTGCAAAATGAGATGTAAAAGCCGTCCTCTCTATGATCTAATTTATTGAGAACTGTAATTAACTAATTCACAACGAAACATCTACAAATAACATCGAAAGATTTATATATTTATAACACAATGTTTGTCTATATGATATACATAAATATCTACACAAGTTAATTATAAAGTTTGCACAATAATGTAAACTCTATAAATAACAACATAAATTTTATAAATAATATCTGCACTAGAACATATATATCTATTGTAGAAAAATTTGTATTAGAAGCAACAAAAGATTCATAAATAACTTGTTTTCATTAAATCAACAACTATGTCCTACTTGAAATCGACGAGATGAAATTTACAAGTAATCCATTTGAAATTTATAACAAAAGGTCCATAAATAACAACTAAAATTCATTTATTAATAATAGAATGTCCATTTAGATACATTGTCATTGGTCAATGAAATATTTTACAACAAAATAAAATGAAGGGAAAGAAGCATGGTGTAGGAAAGACTCAGACTTGCATAAAAATTGAGTCTAATTAAGAAAAGGGAAGCGAGGAGGGACAGGGGGAGAGAGTGGGGGGTCATGGTCCATCCTTAGGGCCTCCCAAAACAAGACCAAAAATGCTTGAAAATCCAAATTAAAGGGAAGAAGAAGCCAATCATCATAAAATTCGTTGGGTAGTTAATGCCTTTATTCCTGCTGCTCTTGTTTCTCTTAAAGACCAAATTGAACTTGACAGGATGATCTTTTTTGCATTTTCTCCCTTCTCCATTTCCATATGTTTATTTGGGTTTTCTAAAAGCTTTACATTTATGCTATCAAGCATCAATTTGAGAGAGTAATTGGGGTTTGTAGGAAGATGAGAGCCTGAGGAGGTGGGAAGGAGAAGTTATTGGGTTGCTTGGAGAGTGAATTAGATAGTTTGTTTGAGAATTTTGTTTATTCTTTATGCTCCACAGCACTTATAGTGGTGGTCTTGTTTTAAGTTACATTCCTTATTGATGACTAGGCTAAATGGATCTTGAAGTGAGATTCCATTCCATTGGAATCTTGTTCGATGATTTTAGTGAACTTGTTACTCTGCTACCTGTGGCTGAAAACTAAAGTGGTCGAATCCTATTTACTCTCAGGAAGGGTTCTCACTATAAGCTTAAGCTCAAATTTAGCGTCCTCCACCACATTATATCTAGCCTCATGTATTCCAACACTTGCATATACTATAAGGTGGGAAGCAAGGAAGGAGAGGGAGAGAGTGGGGGTCGTGGTAGAAGAAAAGGCTAGCAAGCAAGTCCATTTGAAGAAGTATAACACAATGAGTGGACACACGTGGCATGCTAGCTCTTTTTTCCAGTCAAAGAATTGGTCAACAAACAACTGTTTGATCAAGATTAATAAAAGGCACCCGATGCAATGTTTTTGTAAGTCTATGATTTATTTTATATCACTTTATTATATAAGTTATTAGATATTCCTCGAAAAAAAGTTGATAACTAATTTTGCATCTTTATTCAATATTAATTAATAATCTCTTACTTGTTGCTTTGTTCAAATCAAGCACATTCGTATAGTTTAAAATTTAGAAGTTACTTTGCATACATGAAGTACTATAAATAAAATTGCACTAACATTGTAAAAGTGATGAATTGCACTAATATGAGTTTTCATCAACGCAAAAGGGTCGTCGTAATTTTCATCATCTTTACAATTGTAGTGCAATTTTAGCAGCAAACATTTCATTTTGTGTTGATGAAAACTTTGACAACATTTTTGCATGCAATTTTAGTGCAATAAGCACCAAGGTGCTCATCATTCAAAGAGTATTGTTGAATAAAGATTGCTTTCGATTTAAATCTCCATTCTTGTTACCTTCAACATTGATCACATCTCCAGTTTCACTCTTGCTATTTTTTTTTAATGATATAATATAATTACAAAGATTATGTTGTTGGATAGGCAAGAAAGTTTTTGGGTTATTGATAATTTAAGCATGATTCTGGGCTTCTGTTTAATTAAATTGTGGGCCTGATTTTATTTCTCTTCATTTTGGATCATCTAGCTCGAACTGGCTGGCCTTTTTGATTCTATGTCTGTTTTGTAAGATACATAGAAACAACCGAAACCTTTATTCAACTAGGCCTTTTTGTTGCTTTACATAATAGTAGTTTTGGGCCCTGATTACATTTTGGACCACCCTTTGTACTTTTGATTTTTATCATGAGTTGCATTTATTTTGTCATTACGTGGCATAATATTTGGATTTTAAAAAATAAAAAATATTGAATCCCACTAGATCAAATTTGCAGCTAGAGACTTTGAAAACAGTATCCGATTTATGTGGGTAAATGTAAGTGGCTTCTTTTGGAAAGACCTTGCAGATTTGCTTCAATCAGCCATTTAATGATTAAAAAAAACTAAATATGCATCAAGTCCTGATTATGTAAATTCCCATTCATTCATTTGGGAGGAGCATAATCCATGGCTGTTTTGTTTATATTCCTTTTGAATACCTCCAAAATCAAAAAGATTGTTGTCGTGATGATGAAATCAGAAGAACATAGACAAGCACACACATGAAAATCGTGCGTTCAAACTTTTTAATCAAAAATAAATTGAGTCTGTGGGAGAAAGACATTATCAAGTTGACAGTGTGTAGTCTTTGGGCTTAAAGGAGGCAAGATTACTGAGAAGGGCTGAAGAGCAATTTTTCTCTTTGAATTTTTGTCTCTCAATGTTGAGAATCATGTATTGATCAATGAAGTAATGTTTTTCCTAAACCATTTTTTAAAGAATAATTATATCCTTGCGTTAAAAAAATTCATTAATTTCACAATTATTTGCCTACATGAATTACGTGTGGGCCCCATTGATCATCTGGTCTAGCTTATTATCGTAGGGTTAAAGAACTATTTTTTTTTCCTTTTTTAGAAATGCGCATCTTAAAATCTTGTTAAAATAAAAGTTAATAAATATTTTAATATTAAATGTTGTTAAAATATGTATGACTTGTAAATTGTGTATGAAGATTTGTAAATGATAACGATGATGATGATGATGATGATATTTAAAAATAAATTATAGAAAAGGATGATGAAAACTCTGATGACCCTTTTACATTGATGAAAAATCATTTCAGTGCAATTCATCACCTTTACAATTTTAGTGACAGACATCTCATTTTGTGTTGGTGAT